TTGTAGACTTTGGCTAGCCTTCAACCAGAGAAATAGGTGCACATTAAAGACAAACTGTATCTTTTTTAAAAATGAACTTTTTCTTTAAAATTTAATTAAGTTTTACATTTACAGAAAAGTTGCCAAGATAATAGAGAGTTTCTGTCCACTGCACACCCAGTTTCCGTGTTGGCATCTTGTGTTCCCAGGATGTGTTTGTCACAACACTGAGGCATGGTCAACTGAAGGTCACACTGTTTTTCTCATGATCAGACCAGGGTTCTAGGATTTTTGAGAAATACCATAGAGTGGTTACATCTTTTAAAGACTCTTATCAAAAGATTTTCTGGGCTTAGCTGGGAAGTTCCCAAGATGAATGACTTGCTAATAAAAATAAAAGCAATAACCATAGCAAAATTAATAACAGCAAACAGATCGAACTTGATATACATCAGGCACTATGCCAAGCACTTTGCATTTGATCTTCATGCATGGCATCTGCAAGGAACCAGGAACTATTATTAGCATGATCTGGTAAATGGACACTCAAAACAACTAGCAGAAAGTCACGTGAATCCGCAGTCCCCAGCCTTTTCAGCACCAGGGACCGCTTTCATGGAAGACAATTTTTCCGTGGACTGGGGTGGGGCGGGGGGTAAGGGTTTCAGGATGACGCAAGCGCATTTACATTTGTTGTGCAGTCAAACCTCTCTGCTGATGATAATCTGCATTTATTTGCAGCCGCTCCCCAGCACTAGCATCACCGCCTCAGCTCCACCTCAGATCATCGGGTGTTAGATTCTCATGAGGAGTGCAACCTAGATCCCTCGCATGCGCAGTTTACAGTGAGAATCTGTATTCTCCCTCGCATGCGCAGTTTACCTGTGAGAATCCAACGCCCCGCTGATCTGACAGGAGGTGGAGCTCAGGTGGTGATGTGAACAATGGGGAGCCGCTGTAGATACCGATGAGGCTTCTCTTGCTCACCTGCCGCTCACCTGCTGTGCAGCCCAGTTCCTAACTGGCCACCTACCAAGGTCTAGGGGCTAGGGACCGCAGACTTAGGTGATAAATGGACTTGCTGAGACTTGATCTAAAATAGAATCTCTTTCTAGAGTCTGTTTGTACTCACTTTGCTATCCTGCCTCCAGACTAAAAGTAGCAAGAAAATAAAATGATTAATTTACCAAAAACTTTATTTCTGAAAATGATTTCTTTCAATGAATCAGAATATGCCAATTATTTTCTTGAGACATTAACTACTTGATATTCAATTAAAAATGTGCTATTGTTTTTTAGAATCTTATAGGCAAATCAATTAATCTGAATCATTTCTTTACTTTATCTTCAATGTATTTGTTTATCACTCATTGAGAAAAGGAGTGCTGATAGTTTTAAAGGGATTGCCTGGGCGTGAGACTTTTCCAGTTTTCAGAATTTCCTGGTTAGCTGTGGGCTACTTGAATAACACTCAAACACAAACATGTATCTATTTTTTAAAAAAATGAAATAAGCATGCCTATTTAAAAACACAAACGTGTATATTTTATTGCTTGGCAATAGATGCCTTAGGTTCATATCTGCTGATCAGGACCTTCATCCTTCATGTTCAGTTATTCACTTTGGAAACGACAGTGCAGTTGGTGCTATTTTAAAGTTTACAGTGAACATGAACTTGAGGGCAGACCAGGAGCATCTGGTCAGTGCCCACTGGAACCCTAATAGGATCGCTGTGAAGCTGACGACCTGGGCACCTGGACACGCATCACTCGCTAGGCAGCCAGTCGGGTCCCAGCTGAGGCTAAGACTGTGGGACGTCCCGGCTGGCGTCCCCAGGAAGCCGAGACCTGAATGAGGTTTATCCCTGGAGTCTTTGCACAGAACTGCAGCAGTAGTAGCAAGTCACTCAGTATGTGCTTACCTTGAGCATGCTATAAATGAAAGTAAATTTACTGTGAGATCATTTTTCATGATGAATTTCTGTTAATTCTGGGAGAAGATAAAATTGCGTGATGCATATCTTTCATCAATTCTGAGTTGCTTTCCATTACCAATCTGGCTCTCGCGTTCACTTTCTATGTCTTAGGAAAAAATCTTGTGATATTGGAAAAGACAAGACCATATTCTTTAAAGGGACTCATTCTTGCTTCTCCTTCCCTAATATATTCCGGCATTTATTGTGGGATCCTGGGCATCTGGTGGCCAACTTGGGGATTCGCTGAAGACGCCCAGTGATTCTGGCACCTGCTTACCTTGTGCACAGAGAGAGTAGTGTCTAAAGCCCCTATTCCTCTATGCCGATCCGTGGCAGACCCCACCTCTTGAGCTGAAGCACAGGACGTACTTGGATTGGGACCTTCAGCTCGGAATCATTACCTCACTCACTTAGCAGGAAAATCAGGGAATTCGGCCAAGTAAAGGTGGCCCCAGGATGGCAACGGATCAGTACTTTGAATACAATTCTGGTTTTCACAGCAAGTCTCTCTGAGGCTGAGTCACTCAGCTTCCTGGGCAACAACACAAACACAATTCTGAATTCCAACAGCACTCGTAAATAATTCGGATGGTGCTAAAGATGAGTTTGAAAATGGATACCTGCATAGTCTCCATGAGACCACAAGAGAGAGAGGAGGAGCGGAAGGAACTCATGGCTGTGGTTACGTAATACCCTGGCTTCACAGGATCCAGAATTCCACAGCCGGGTAACGGCAGGAAAAGCAAAACATGGCAGATGCAATTCCTGATGTGCCTTAGCTTTGGACCACAGCTTTAAAAGCATCTCATTTTTATTGTAGTCAAGCGGAGCATATCTGTGCGAAGAGCAGATACAGTATTTCATGCATGCAACAGAGCTTTGCCTGCACACCATCGTTAAGCTGATTACACGCAATTTTAGCGTGTGCGGGCCACTGTAATAGCAACCCCCTGTTTTCTGGGGTTACGTGATTGATGGTGACGGACAAGGAAGAGGTCACAGGAGGCTTCGCTCCTCTCGGGCGTCCTGATGATGCCGTGTCCAGACGGTTTTCAGAAACGCCGGGAGCATGCAGCAGCCGCACATGGTGGAAATGTCCCCGCCCCGCCTCCACTAGACGGGGCTGGTGCGTCCACGTTTGTGTGCTGCAATCTTGCTTTCCAGAGATGAAGAAAGGAAATTCTTTATTTTAGAGATTTCTGAGTCAAATTCTGGAAGAAGTGAAGTGATCTAAGAGCAGTTGCAATGTGGACACTTGCACAAGAAACTGTTGCTTTTACACACTCTCCTTTCAGCTGGGAAACGGAAGCGGGCTCTGATGGGCCACTTCCATCCGAGTGTGAGCGTTTACCACGTGCGTGGGAATTATGGTAGCCCTAGCACACCCCTTGTCTCCTTGAGCTTGTGGGTTTTATGAAAGCCGAATTCAGAATAGAGATGACAGTCAAGTAGCATGGGAGGAACAAAGTAGATGCACAAAGTGTGCGGCATTGCTTTCTGTAAGAATCAACATAGGAGCTATGTGAGTATCTTATTTATTCTACAAAAGGTTTGGTTTGATGTTATGAGAGGGAAAAAACAAACAACCTTTAGATCCCTCAAATCTAAATGCTTTCAACTCTTTTGAAGAAATGCTTCCTGAACAGCTCCAGCAAAGTGGCTTCCACAGAAGTTAATTAATTGCAATCCTGTGATAACCCGGGTAGGTACGTTCTCTCTACGGAACATCATAAAATATACTAGTTTTGTGATAACTTAAAAAAATATATCTAAATGAACTCTTGATGGAGACAAAGACTGCGTCCACCTAGAATATTTCACATGTCGAACAGAAATTTTACGGCTCTGTGTAGAATAAATTTGATAAGACAAGCACCTCAACAAGAGAGTAGTAATCCATGGTGTACATACACCACATTTTATTAATTTGCTTGTGTATTGATGGGCACTTGGGTGGATTGCACATCTTTGTGCTTGTGAATTAACAGCAAATCTTTTAAATCTGTGGTCGGGCAAGGCCAGGTCTCATACAAAAGCCCTGCGATGCCTTTCTGCCCCGCTCAGCACAGACGGACCCAGCAGCTGGCTGCCGTGTGTCTCTTGCAGCTCCGGGCTCGGCGGGCTGGGGTCTGTTTCTCAAAAGGAATGGCTTCTGCCTTCCCCAGGACACGTACACAGTCTCCTCCTCCAAATGTCTGTCTGTCCCCCTCCGCACCCCTTTGTGTTGCTTTAAATTACCCATCATTGTTTCAATCACATTCATTTTTGAACTTTTAAAATTTTCTTCCATAGATGTAAGACCCATGAGTGCAAGAACCTTGCCTCGTTCACCCACTGGATCCCAATTCCCCAAGGAGGACCCAACACACAGTGGCTCTCAAAAAATGCTTTTTGAGTGAATGCATGAATAACATAGTTGATACATTGTGTATAGTTAACATTTGAGACAGAGCAAAGTTTAGAGTACAGTTTTGGTGTTGTGTGGGAATTTTATTACACTCATGTTTTAATGAAAAGAGGTTCGATGCTGCCTATTTTCTTTTCATCTGTAGAACAAACCATGCTTTATTTTGTTTCATAAATGAGTTTTAACATTCATATAAGGGAAATAGTGTTCAGATAGACTATATTGATTTACATATTCAGTAGGGAATGAATAATCTTTATTGTATTATTTATAGTAAAAAGCACATAGATTCGAACAAAATCTATGGTGTTTACATTTTAGTAATAGCATCTGCAGATAAAAGCCCAGAAGTGCCAAAAAAGATGCATCTATTAATTGCAACATTTGTGTTGTAAGTGTATCCCTGTAGCCCTGTGTATCCCTTAAATGACATAAATTTCTTTCTCTAGAGTTGAAAATGCATTTTCCCCCTGCTTTTGTAATCAAATGTCAGATGAATGGAGTATCCTTTTGGGTCTACGTGCAAAAAACGATGTCTAGAGTGGCCGAAAGAAACCGCTTGTTCATCTTCTAAATTGTGGACTTAAAAATATCAGCAGTGTATTTTTTTTAATGGTTCACCATTTTTCTGATTTTCAGAGATTGAAAAGGGAGGGTGTGGGGACCCGGGCGTCCCCGCCTACGGGAAGCGGACGGGTAGCAGCTTTCTCCACGGCGACACGCTCACCTTCGAGTGCCAGGCAGCCTTCGAGTTGGTGGGGGAGAGAGTCATCACCTGCCAGCAGAACAACCAGTGGTCCGGCAACAAGCCCAGCTGTGTCTGTGAGTATCCTGCCTCGACTGGCCCTTTCCCATCCTGCACCTGCCTCCTGGGGTGGCGGGGTGAGGGGGGCGGATCAAAAGACGCAGAGCGTCTGCGCGGGGAGGGCAGCGCTGGGAACAGCCAGGCAGTGCTGCCTTTGCCAGGAGCACCCAGTGCGCTGTGGAACACCCACAGTCCTGCTCGCTTCACCTAACTAAGATTAATCCATATCGTGTTTCCCCGAAAATAAGCCCTACCCACAAAATAAGCCCTGGCAGGATTTCTAAGCATTTGCGCAATAGAAGCCCTACCCTGAAAATAAGACCTAGTGATGGCGTGGCTGCGCAGCGCATCTGCACAACCCGTGCGTGTCGTCTCGGAGCGGTCAAGAAGACGAGCAGCCCTTCTCATCTGCCCCAGGAGAGCTCTGTTGCTCCACACGAGAGATCGGGGCCAGTGGTTCTAAAGGAAACAGAGTCGCAAGACATTCAGGATGGCATTCGGGGTTTGGAGAGTGATGATGATGTCCTAGATAAAGACGACTTCCCTCTATTTGAATACATGTAGATTGCTGCACCGTGCTTAAAAAGATAACACATCCCGTGAAAATAAGCCCTGGGTGTCTTCTTGAGGAAAAATAAATATAAGACCCTGTCTTATTTTCGGGGAAACACGGATCGTATCACACCTGCCCGGTAAAATGCAGCTAAGTATTTTCAACTAGGAATGTCATAGCATACACCTTTGTTCCCATCAGAAGCTCATGGTGGTGTGCACAGCATCAGACATCAGCACAGCAGCCAAGGGTCTTTAGGGCTCAATGATGCCGTGCGAGGCTTAAACACGATGCGTGCAAGCAGGAGCAGTGGGAGCAGTCTGGGATCCAGTGGAAGAGCTTCCTGCTTCCTCATAAGTACAGTATTTTATAAGTAGAACAGACTTCATAGCTGGTTTTAAAGGGGGTGTTATATATTTGTAAATGAATATAGCCATGGCGGGAAAATGCATATGAAATTATATGGACTAATTTCCCTACATACCCTACAGATCACACCCTACAGATCAATCCAACAGTTGCTCCCTCCCTCCTGCATGATTTTTAAGTACACATCCTTAAGATTAAATTTTTCAAGAGACTGTCACATTACCTAAGTGAAACATGGTCTGATTTTTTCCCAGATTTATTTATTTATTAATCTTTACCCTGTAATGAACACGAACTTTAAATGACTTGAAAAAAGTAACTTAAAGGAAAATATAAGATGTAAATTAAAAAGTTATCACCCCATAGCAGACTGAACTGTTCCCAGGACACAGACATCTGCCTTTTCATATTAATGTCTGCTTTCCCAAGGCAGAAGAAAGTTGTAACTAGAAATTGTAATGTTTGGCACTCGTTGTCGGCGAATTTGAAAGGATCATTTCGGAGCCAAGCCTGTGTTTGATTACATGTAGGCTCTGGCTGTGCTCCGTAAGATAATGAAATATCCTACTTACACTTTAGGGAAAGAGAACACGCTATGGTCCAGAATTATTAGTTCTAACCTCGTTGGATCATCCTAGCTGTCGGCAGGCATGTGTTCTCTTTCGGAGTTCTCAGCAACCAGTTTTGGGTGGCAGTTCTTTGGATGTGGCGCAAAACTGTTTGAAAATATCGTGTCTTCACAGTTTCCTGTTTCTTCAACTTCACGGCCGCATCTGGGATCATTCTGTCTCCCAACTACCCCGAGGAATATGGCAACAACATGAACTGCGTGTGGCTGATCATATCGGAGCCAGGAAGCCGAATTCACCTCATCTTTAACGATTTTGATGTGGAGCCCCAGTTTGACTTTCTTGCGATCAAAGACGATGGGATTTCAGATATAACCATCCTTGGCACCTTTTCTGGCAACGAAGTGCCTTCCCAGCTGGCCAGCAGCGGGCACGTGGTGCGCCTGGAGTTCCAGTCCGACCACTCCACCACCGGCAGGGGCTTCAACATCACCTACACCAGTGAGTACGCCCATGGGAGCACCACGCCTGGGTCACCAGCTGATGCTGCAGGTGTTTGATAATCATTGTTAAAATGAGAGTGGCAAAATGATACGGCATTATCCTGGTAACAAAAAAAATCACTGTATTTAGATTACTTTCTTGGTCATTTGTATAGTAAGGGCCTGGATCTCTCACTTCTCTCTCGCTCTCTCTCTCTGGTTTTCTATCCATCCATCCATCCATCCATCCATCTAGCTAGCGATCTATCTGTCCATCCTTCCATCCATCCAACAATCCATCCGTCTATCCATCCTTCCTTCCATCCTTCCATCTATTCAACAATCCATCTCTCCCTCCATGCTTCTATCCATACAACAATCCATCCCTCCATCCATCCTACAATCCATCCCTCCATCCATCCAACAATCCATCCCTCCATCCATCCAACAATCCATCCCTCCATCCATCCTACAATCCATCCCTCCATCCATCCAACAATCCATCCCTCCATCCATTCCTCTATCCATCCAACAATCCATCCCTCCATCCATTCCTCTATCCATCCAACAATCCATCCCTCCATCCATCCAACAATCCATCCCTCCATCCATCCTACAATCCATCCCTCTATCCATCCTTCCTTCCATCCCTCCATCCATCCAACAATCCATCCCTCCATCCATCCAACAATCCATCCCTCCATCCATCCTACAATCCATCCCTCTATCCATCCTTCCTTCCATCCCTCCATCCATTCCTCTATTCATCCAACAATCCATCCCTCCATCCATTCCTCTATCCATCCAACAATCCATCCCTCCATCCATCCTTCCTTCCATCCTTCTATCCATCCTTCCATCCATTCCTCCCTCCATCCTTCCATCTATCCAACAATCCATCACCCACCCATGCACCCACCCACCTGCCCATGCGTCTTCTATGTGACAAATAGTGTAGTATGAAGGATTGAGTCATTTAAGGTGAAGAGTCCAGAGTTAGAACACCAGTGCCTGTGTGTACTTAGTGAATTCTGATGACAGCTAACTTCTTCTTGCATCAGGTTTGTCATTTGCAAAACAGATTTTATGCAAGAACATTTGCCTAAATGCATTGTAGAGGGAAGAAAGTGAGATAATAGGGTTAATATGAATAGCATTTGCTGACTGATTTCTCTTAGGACCTGTACTTAGAATTTGACAGTAATTATTTCATTTAGTGTCACAGAATTCTGAGGTATAGACCTATTCCTCACTGTATAAATAAAGATAGCTAGGCTGAGGTCATTAGAGCTATCTGCCCAGTGTCAGAAAGTAAGTGGAAAAGTCAAGATTCTAACCCAAGTATAACCTAAGCTCAAACACTTTCTACCACCTGCTCTATCCCTTTTCTCCTTCTCTAAGTGCATATGAGTGACAGTTATATCTAAAGTGATGTATAAATGATAGTTATATCTATTTATCCACATGTTCTCTCTCTCTCTGTTTCTCAGTAGATACCAATATCGTATTTATTTAATGTATTTATCTACAAATGATCTAACTGAAATTTGAGACAATAATTGCTTTATAAGCATGTCCTTGTTTCTTCTTTTTTAATGCATATAATTGATATTCAAGTATTTTTTTTTTTTGAGGCAGAGTCTCACTCTGTTGCCCAGGCTAGAGTACCATGGCATCAGCCTAGCTCACAGCAACCTCAAACTCCTGGGCTCAAGCAATCCTTCTGCCTCAGCCTCCCGAGTAACTAGGACTACAGGCGTGCGCCACCACACCCAGCTAATTTTTGTATATGTTTTTAGTTGATCAATTAATTTACTTCTATTTATAGTAGAGATGGGTCTCACTCTTGCTCAGGCTGGTTTCGAACTCCTGACCTTGAGTGATCCTCCCGCCTCGGCCTCCCAGAGTGCTAGGATTACAGGTGTGAGCCACCGCGCCTGGCTCTATGTTCAAGTATTTTTATTCTAACTATTTTTTTTTCTTTTCAGCGTTTGGTCAAAATGAGTGCCATGACCCCGGCATCCCCATAAACGGACGGCGTTTTGGTGACAGGTTCCTCCTGGGGAGCTCGGTTTCCTTCCACTGTGACGATGGCTTTGTCAAGACCCAGGGGTCCGAGTCCATCACCTGCATCCTGCAGGACGGGAACGTGGTCTGGAGCTCCGCGGTGCCCCGCTGCGAAGGTACAGCCCCTGCGTGGGCCAGGCGTCCTCCACCGTCACGCACCTTCTCCAGACGGGTCCGGTTGCCAGGGCAGCCTCGGCAGAGAAGCACCACACACACAGCGCCTGAATAGCGGAAGCGCACAGCCTCTGCTGTGGAGGCTGGAATTTGAGGCCCAGTGCCAGGAGGCGGACTCCTCTGAGGGGGGCGCTGCCCCAGACCCGCCCTCCCGCGCGGAGGTTGCTGGCGGCCTTTGGCATCGGGAGGCCTTAAAGCAGAACCCTGCTGTGGGTTGTTAGCAAAGAAAGCCCTCAACAGAAAGGACTTGTTTGTGGGGAAATATTTTGAAGGTTTACCTGTGCAGAGACACCCAGTCACCGAGTGTGGATGAATGAGTCCCGCGGAGGGTGGGTCCTGGGATCACAGGGCCGGCTAGAGTCCCTGGCCAGTGCCCTGCTGGATACACGAAAACTAAACTGGCTTTCAGAAGCAGACAGATCCGGCAGGGAATAAAATCACATGGCAATGAAAAAGTGGGTGATACAAACCACATAACCTGATTTGAGGGATGCATAGAGAACCACACATTCCTTATAGAATGCTCATTTTATTGTTTTTCTCAAAGATTTTTTTTTGTTAAAAATTGATTGCATAAATAACCATAAAGAGAACCTTAGCAGGTTAAAATAAGTATAGGCCACACATTCTATGATAGTCCAATTAAAGTATGAGTGTATAATAAAAATAGAACCACAAGCAAATCTCTATAAATCAAAAAGTGTGCGGTAATCGTATATTAAAGACAAACTCAAGCCTCAGGTCCCACGCTGTTTGGAAACCATGAGAAAGTAAACACTTCCTACTAAAAAATGATATGATACAGCCAAACTGGAGCTTTTAGGAAAATACCTATCTTAAAGGCCTCTAATGTAGAACAACAACAACAAAAAATCATCAGAAATAAAGGAATTGAATACTAAGACTGAAAAGTTAGAAAAAAATGAAAGTAAATTAGGATACTATGTTAATAAAAATCAAATGTTAGAAACAAGTGAATGCAAGAGTGAGTTCTTTGTTAGCACCAGTAAAATAGACAACCCCTGTATGCTTCTGATAACAACAAGTAAAAACTAAGAGAGAAGAAAGTTACAGATATTTGGGAACCTAAAAGAGAAATGACCTATATTACAAAAATAATATAATGTTTCCACAAAGACTGGAAGGCTCACAATAAAGTAATTTTTTTATAAAAGTATGTTATTTATTTTTTCTGGCAGAATTTATTCAATGCCAGGTAGATCTCGGGTATAAATCATGTAGCCTCTGGGCAAAAGATTTCTATTTGTTCTGCCTCTAACTGGGTCACATTCCTCAGCACAGCTCAGTGACATCGCTAAAAACACAAGTTATTATGGGGGAAAATAATGGTATATGAATACATCCTCAACCCCAGGACAACAAATTCTAAAGCCTGTAGGAAATTAGTGATTTTCTAGCAAACTATAAAATGCCAAAAGTGTGGCCCAAATAGAAAGATAAAGCACCATAGAAAATATTTGAAAAAAAAGATTAAGGATTGAAAATTGAAAAGAAACAAGTACCATGGACATGTATGAGTGAGTTCTCTGTCTTTCAAACACTGAGAATTTCAGTGTTGTGAACAGCAGCGCATAATGGAGAAGATGCCATGCCTTCCTATGTAACATTTCATAAATCCAGCATTAATGTAACCCAAATCAGGCCATCATATTAACCACTTGGTGCGGCGCTCACAGCCGCGAACCTCGCCCGCAGCGGCCCGCAGCCCCACGGCAGTCTGCGCTGGGCACTGACGGCGGTCCGTCTGCTCCTGCGTGGTGAGGAAGGCTTGAAGGCCCTGAACGCTTGTTTGACTCTACAGGCAGCTTCACTTGTCATGTAAATCAGAATAGGTAACATAGACATCTATGTTTTCATTACGTTATTTTTAAATGTTCACAATTTTATTTTGATAAATGAAAAGTTAGAAAAGTCATGTCACGGCTGTCGGCTAAAGTCGCTGTGTGTGTTCATCTGTGGCTGTCGACTATAGTCAATGCTTGTACGGAAGTGGTTAAATCAAAAGCTATAGAAAAAATGTATTTATGTCATCAGGAAGGGTTTATTTTAGAAATACAGTATCAGGACATTGACCACTGTAATTTAAATCATCAAAAAATGACAGGAGAAATTGCATTCTAAAGACCTCACTGGTGCAGTTGGTTTTTGTTGCCCGCTGTGCGGATGTGGACGTCACCAGTGCTCTCATCAGCCATGCCCGGTCTCTGCCAAGGGGGTGTCTCCTCGGGGCCTGTGGTTCGATGGAGCTCTGTGAAGGGCTCCGGCCGATCAGGTATGTGTCCAAGTGACACGATCAACTTCGGACCCAGAGCTTTAATTGCCTGTACAAGACAGTTTTCCATCATTTTCCATGTTTCATACCAACTTGAGGGAAATAGCTGTGTCTCTGAGCCCCTAGACATGTAGCATGTGTGAGAAATAAATCTTTCCTATTAACATGACAGCAAAATCGTAGCGCTGTCTATGACCACAGCACAACCAAATCCAAGCTAAGTTCGTCAAGCTTGAGATCGTCATTTAATATTTCAGTGTTGATTTTGTTTATCTTCAATATAAAGATTTAAATGTCTATTTCACCAGGGCAGAGGTATACAAATTCTAAAGTACACTGTAAGTTATAAGCTTATGTGCAAAAGAGATTAACAAGAAAATAATCAATAGCAATCTATGACAACTTAGGCACAATCCAGGAAATGTGAGAAAACACACACAAGGGATCTTTTGGTTTTGTATTTATGTGGGAAGTTTTTGCTTTAAAACTTGAAAATGTCAGATCCCTGAGCACAGAGGCAGATCTTGCTTTTGTTGAGGTACTGCTGTGGCGTATCTTTCTATGCGTGACCCGGCCTGAGAGATCTTGTGCGTCTTCTTTCAGCCCCGTGTGGTGGACATCTGACAGCTTCCAGTGGAGTCATCTTACCTCCTGGGTGGCCGGGATATTATAAGGATTCTCTCAATTGTGAATGGATAATTGAAGCAAAGCCAGGCCACTCTATTAAAATAACTTTTGACAGGTAAGGAAAAGAAAAAAAAAAAAAACACCCTTTTTCTCTTTTTTCATTTGGACCCAACGACCTGTGTCTGCTTCGTGTACTTAGTAAATGGATCTTAAAACTTAAAAAGATGGTTCCCCCAAAGGAACTCACTTAACCAGAAACTGGGGTCAATGCTTGCCAGGTTATGTTCTTCTTGGGTGTCATCCTCTGGCACCAAAGCTGCGTCACAGGTCTGCGGGCTGCCAGGGAAAGCGGCTGTGCTGGGGACCGTTTCCCAGGTCTGAGCCCAGAGTCTGAGCCTAGGTTCTGGACCTGCAGTGGAACAAATGCTCTTGGTGTCTGTGCATGGGAGCAGCTTCGGGTCACATTGGTGCCTAGAGGCTTCTGTGTCAGCACGAAAACACCTTCCCTGCCGTGGCGATGGCTGCTGGTGAACACAGGGCAACAACGTGCGGTTGCAGAGTTAGCAACGTGGGTGTTCAACAGGTTAATCACCTCTCAGTTAGCTACAAGGGATAGCACCCCTGACACTGTTCGGCTTAGCTGTTTGATATAGTGTATTTGATGACCTGCAAAACTAAGCACGCAGTTTGAATTCTGCTCGGTAAAATGCTTTCCGTTTGTCACAACGTTGAAATCAAATTTAGGCTTAAAAACTAAAAACATTTTGCCCTGAACCGTGTGCTTATCAAGCTAAGGAATCATCTTTGTTTAATGTTTCAAGGCTAATGTCTGGAAAACGTTGGGCTTTCTCTGACAGTGACCTTCTTCTGGACCAGATTGCAGTCTGGGCTTTAATATTTAGAATATTTTAGGGTCATTACATGATGTTCACTTTGTTTCCCAGTAATTTTATAATGATGACCAATAATGTCAATACAAGAAAGGTTTTTAGCAGGAGTTGTGTTATCTTTTAGCAATTATTTTTATTTGAGATTATCTTTTATATTATTACGTACCTCTGATAGAATAATTGTGATAATCTCTCAGAAGAAGAGGAAAAGTTTGGTTTACATTTCTACTATATTGAATAGTGAATTACTGCATAGAATCTTTGCAAAAATTAAATTTATAAATATTCAGTAAATTAAGTTTGGTTTCCTACTAATTTTTATCCTTTTTGGTATGGGGGGCTGGAACACAGCCAGATTTCTATCCACATATCAAATTTACATCATTTCATAAAAATCGTGATTGTACATTCTCATTTGGCACAATTTATTAGCACTTCATTTTCAGTCACCTGAAGCAAGATACTTGTTTAATTCCCAATCTTGTCTTTTTCAATATCGTCTCAGTGTGATGTTTTGCAAAATTCCACGTGGGGGTACCTCATATTTCTGATATTTTCGGACACCCTAGATTCATGTATACAACTCTTAGATAGTGCATAATGCAATGTTAGCTCACACCTTCACCCACGGGCTGGCGCCCTCGTGGAGGATGTGTTTGCACACACGAATCTCGAATTCCATCCTGACGGTGTTGTCCTGCAGTGTGTGCTAGGTCATCTAATGATGGAGAACCTGCAGCTGTCTCTGTTTCCGAGGCTGTCCCGGAAATCTTCCACCTGTCAGGGGTGCACCCTTTGTCAGTCCCTGCTGCCTCTCAAGCAAGGGGACATGAGTACGTCAGTGTGGATAGATCACATGAGGTTCCTTTCCTGAAATCCTGATTTCTCGAGTTTGTACTCAAACAACTGAGAAATGGCAGAGTCTAGAGAAAGTGTTAGAATAGCGGAAGACGAAGCTGGCACTCTCTGATCCCAATCGCACCCACCTGCAGCCTCATTCCTGTCTAGCCTCGTGGCATGAAGGTTGCTAGAATTCCTCTCTGTAGAAGAACAGGTTTCAGGGTACCGACCTAGCCAGTTGCAAGAACATCTAATTGTGCATTTGCGCCGAGAGGAGTGCGCATAATTCAATAGTGAACAGAGCAGAGCCGTTTGGTTTCAGCATCCCTTTTTTGTTGCTACGTGTTGTGAAATTTAGATCGCTTCCTCTCTCCCAGCTGCCTTCCTCTTCATCAGCACTCTGCAGTCCAGAGCGTGGGGGATAATGGCCTGGGCTCACAGCGGCGGAGTGAGTCAGAGGCTTACGAGGCTTAAGCTGCTCCCTGAGAGCACAGTCAGACACTTGGAAACCAGGTTAGCTCTTTGAGGGCCAGGTGGGCCCATTTAGAAAATTATCTCACGCCCGGAACGGCACCTTCATTGCATCAGAGGGTACCCGAGTGGCTGCAACTTTATATAAATATAATCTCGGGCCAGATTCTCTGGCAGCCTAAGAGAAGTTAAGCACTTTTTGGAAGCTGCCCTAACTTTTTCAAGTCGTTAAAGTATCATTTGGTTCCCGAAGTAGCAATAATGCTCGGTGTGATTCTAGCACCCTGAAAGAGTTAATGCTACTTTTAAGAAAAGCACAGGATTTTCTTTTTTTCATAAAAGGTATTTAAAGTACCACCTTGTATTTTGAACTGACCTCGTCCTTTAAAATATAATTTCCCATCAGAATGCCGCCTTTAAGGTGTCCGTAATCATGTTATGTAGAGAATGAAATATAGTTTGAAAATGTATACTAATAGATTTTTTTTTGCTAATTGAGGATTATTTATTATTTAATAACATGAATCTAGTTAATGGTACTTTTGTTTTAAGCTGAATAACGGCCCCTTTTAGTGCCTGTGGTGTTACAAAACAGGGTATCAGGTTAAGAGGAAGGGGGGTGGGGTGTGTCATTTCTCCCAGGAAAAAATCCTAGTCTTACATATTATATCTCCCCTCCCAATCTTGAAAGTATATAGAACTTTAAATACCTTATTTGCATTGACATAAATGGGTTTTAATTAGTGAATGAAGATGTCCCGAGTGGGTCTGTGAGCTGACCTGTCTCTCTGAGTGACTTCTGATCTGACGCACGATTTTCGGCAGGTTCCAAACGGAGGTCAACTACGACACGCTGGAGGTCCGGGACGGGCCAGCCAGCTCGTCCCCGCTGATCGGCGAGTACCACGGCACGCAAGCCCCGCAGTTCCTCATCAGCACCGGGAACTTCATGCACCTGCTCTTCACCACGGACAACAGCCGCTCCAGCGTGGGCTTCCTCATCCACTACGAGAGTAAGTCGGCCGCCTCCCGCCCGCCCGGCCGCCGCGCACAGACAGTGGGATTTAAGATCTGCGTTCTTTTTTTCTTTCATTTCAAAATAGTAAAGGGGCACAAATGCTTTATATGTGTGTGTGTGCATAATATGTATAAATACAGCATTCATTCCAATGTAGCATTTTTAAACATAAAACAGAATTTAAGAACCACAAAATTTCAAATTTTATTCCTTTATAATGTCCATGTACGTTATCACTTTTCTTTGGAGTCATGATATACGCACATTGCAATGGTCCGAGTTTGTAAAACTCCCAAGTGCTGAAGAGCCAAGGTTGTATTTTCTCTATTTACTACTTTTTATAGACCAGAAAGACTCGGCCCTTAGATGTCTATTACTTAAGAGAATAAATATTTCCAGGCATCGATAACTATTCGAACAGAATTTTCCTTCCTTTTCTTCTCTCTCTTAGTAGCTACAGATTATTTTTAGCACCCTTATTGTCTCCTAGGGGCTGTATACAGTCAGTAGAAACAAATTTCATGTGTTAATCTAACTCATTTGAATAAACTGATTGTTTTTATTCTTTCTGAAAAATCAAAGAACGATCAAAAGCCTGTTCACAAGTTCTATTTAGCTTGTCATACTCACAATATAATACTATAGCACAATACAGAATACATATTATATTATAGAATAATATAATAATCTATTATGCAGATAATACTAACAATCTTTATAATCATAAAAGAATTGCTAAATTATATTTTGGTGTTCTTTTTATTTATCCTATGCTTAGAAGCAGAGCTCAGCTTTTGTAAGGCATGCATCTGTAACCTGGAGTGTTGTGTGTGCCATAAATTTCTGATCGCGTAGGGTGTCTAGAATTCCTTCCCCTTCCTTCTCTGTTGGAGAGTCAGGGAGGCAGCTCCACAGCTGCAGACAAAGGTGGAGCCGTCACCTGGTGGGTGAATAGAGGTAGGAAGGAGCCTCACACACACAGCGCCCTAATGCTCTGACTTAGAAGGGACAGGCTGAAATATCCAAGCAGACTTTCATACTGTGAACTTCTCACCATCCCTCCAAAAGGCCTCTGCACTTTTTTGCGGTATTCCTCTGAGTCAAAGCATTGAAACTACGTTGAAAAAACATGTCCGCACTCTGGGAGGCTGAGGCGGGCGGATCGCTCGAGGTCAGGAGTTTAAAACCAGCCTGAGCAAGAGCAAGACCCCGTCTCTACTGTAAAATAGAAAGAAATTAATTGGCCAACTAGTATGTATAGAAAAAGTTAGCCAGGCACGGTGGCGCATGCCTGTAGTCCCAGCTACTCGGGAGGCTGAGGCAGGAGGATTGCTTGAGCCCAGGAGTTGGAGGTTGCTGTGAGCTAGGCTGATGCCACAGTACTCACTCTAGCCTAGGCAACAAAGCAAGACTCTGTCTCAAAAATTAAAAAAATAAAAAAAAACAAATAGTTCCTGCATACCACACCCAGTTTGCATCCCAGACCCAGTCCAGGTAGGATTTCACCCACCTTGTCTGCAGATTCCTGTCTGCTGCATTCTCCACTCAAACGACTTGTCACGCCAAGGGGCCAAGGGACACGGTGTCTGCTCATGTCACAGCTCAACGTGGGTGCCCATGATGCCTTGCAGACAGATGCATGAGTAAATTATGGAACAACGTTGCTATTAAGCGTCAGTCATGACGTTAACAGTTATTTAGTTTTATATGTAAATGATTCTACATTTGAAGTTCTAGGCTTTGATTTCCTCGAATATTTTTTTTTCTCTTTCCCCTCTTTCAACTCAGTCCCCAGCTTCCCAGTCCCTGTAGGCTGGACTAAGTTCATGTTACCCAAGGGGCCACCATGAATCAAAGGAGACAGTCCTGACACTTGGGAAACCCCAAGGGGTTAGAGGCTAACTCCCAGGAGCTTGGGCGCTCCATGGAGACCACGCTCCTTACTGGACATTTTTGCGTCGTGGCTTAGCTCTCCTGGAAATGTCCTGTGCATGTTCCTGGGCCGATTTACTATGACGATAAAGAAGCACTATCACCTACTATTTATTATTATTTAAAAAGTCACCCCTCATTTGTATTTCATGTATCTGACTTAATGAGGGGATGTGTATTCATAAGTGACTTCGCTCAAACTTTGGTAAAGCAAATGTTATGACTAGAAACAATATTCCAAAGATCGCTTTTGGTGACTAACAAGACTGTATATTGGAAATATTCTATGATGTTTGGTTAATAGTTCAGGTCATTATTCCAATGCTTCTGAGCCTTGCTGAGAGAGTAATATACAGCGATAGCAAGGCCGTCTTTGTTTCTTTGCGTGTGTAAATCGTGCAATGATGTTCTCTACCCTCGTTCTCATTTTTCCTTTCCTTTAAAAGTATGTGTTATTCTGGAAAGAAAGAAAAAATATTAATGTGAGACACAGAGTAAAAGAACTCTTATTATGACATAATCACAATTACTTACCATTACATAGCACTTTGTTTTTTCATATCTTTTAGCATTGGCTATGTGTAGCCACCTTGACAGGGGCTGACTTAAGTGCAAACTTGAATATTATGTGGATTTATGGAATGCAATTTTTTTAAGACCAACTCTAGTGCACTTTACATTGCACTTTATCTGTGTGTATGTATGTGTTGTGGTGTATGCGTGCACAGATTAGAAAGTTTAAGTATAACTGCCAAAATCTCACTAAAACGTTATATATATGTGTGTGTGTGTGTGTGTGTGTGTGTGTGTGTGTGTGTATGATAGAAAGCAGGAAAAACTTAGGCTATATTTAGTGCCGTCTGTTAATATCCAACAAGAAAAGTAAAATTCAGAGAGGTCAATTGATTTTCCAGGATTGTACTACTTAGACACCATCTGGTAAATAGTGTGACAATATGAATCAAATTTGAAAATCAGGATCAGATATTTGAAGATGTCTATGTTTTTACATTAGCGGGTGTTGGGTTCAGCTGCATGCTTTTCCAGATCTGGTCACGGCTGTGACTATTTCATAGCACTCGGCCCGGACATGTCTTCTTTCCCATAAACCATCAAGGTCCCTCCCACCCCCCGCATGACACGTTTTCTCTGTGCGCCCAGGTGTGACTCTGGAGTCCGACTCCTGCCTTGACCCAGGCATCCCTGTCAACGGCCATCGCCGTGGCAGCAACTTCGGCGTCAGGTCCACGGTGACATTCAGCTGCGACCCCGGCTACACGCTGAGTGACAACGAGCCCCTTCTCTGCGAGCAAAACCACCAGTGGAACCACGCCCTGCCCAGCTGTGACGGTAGGCGGCTCCCTCCGCGGAGCTCCAGGGCGTGGGCTGCATGAGTGCTTTATGGGGCGGGAGGATACGACTGAGGTGCGATTTCCCTTTGAAAAGTCGTCCACCTTAACAATAGCCTTGCTCTTGAACACTGCAAGTTTACCCACCAAATTTTCTCCACTGGGTAGAACACCTGCTTGGAAATAAACAATGAAAAATTGCAGGCTGTCCTTCAGCTTTATCCCCGAACAATCAAACTTACAGAGCTCAGTTCTACACACAGTTTTCAAAGAGGGCGTTTATGCCACCCAGCAAGTGGGACCACAGAGTCACTGTCCACAGCCTCGACTGTCAGACCTGGTTTCGGCTGACCCAGGTCCAAGCACAGAACTCGCTCTAGGTTGACGAGGCTTGTCCTAGTTGCCTTTGCCTGAATCTCTGGGAGAGCCATCTCCTCGGAGCACCCGCTCCGAGACCACGAGCTCGCAGGAGAGCATCCGTGGGTTTTCAATGACAGCCACTCCTCTGGCCCTGCACAGATCTGCTCTCAGAAAGTTCAAAAACAAATAACATTCTTGACTATTGTGTGATACTCTGTTGCTCAAGTTTATACTATGTGATGTATAGGTGTGTTAAAATTTAGATAAATATGCTACTTGTGATCATTTGCAAAAAAAAAAGTAGGGCCTTTTGTCTTTGGACAAGAATGTAACCCCATTATAACATTGTTTCTATGGAAAAACATATATATATATATATATATATAATTTTCATTTCAGTACTTTTTATAGACAATAGGCATTTCTTTACAAACATATTATATGCATTCATTAAACATCTTGACTTCTTTAAAATCATGTGCCCCAAATACTAGGGTTTATGGGACAATTATACTTAGCCACAAACCATTCAAAATCTTTGACCATTGTCACCAAAGCACTGACCCAAACACAAAAATGGTGCTTTGGGAGAGAAACTGCGAAGTGCAGGTGGACAGCACAGGTGGCCCGAGGCTGTCTCAGGAAGTATGAGAGGGACTCAAGACAGCGAAAGGTGGGCTCTGGGCAGCACCAGGTGGGAGACGAGGTCTGCATCTGCACGGCCACAGGTACATGAGCATAGGAGGTGTGACCTACCAGGTGCCACAGTTGTGCAAGGCAGAGGTGAGCCCCACTAGGTGCATGTGCTTACTGTCACTTTCTTCTCTTTCTTTCTTTCCCTCCCTCCATGTCTTCCTTTCTTCTTTTTCTTTCTCATATGATCTCGCTCTGTCTCCCAGGCTGCAGTGCAGTGGTACGATCACAGCTCGCTGCAGCCTGGAACTCCTGGGCTCAAGTGATGCTCCTGCCTCAGCCTCCCGAGTAGCTGGGACTACAGGCTTGCGCCACCGTGCTGGCCTCCTTTTCCTAACAGAGGTCTTGCAGAGCTCCTCTTTTGTCTGAAAGATGAGCTGACTCATTTTTCTATTCCTGCCATAGGTTATGATTCTAATACACCAACTCCATTTGCCTAGAGAAAAATGCTGTGAGCAGCAACGTAATTTTCACATTGCACGTTGAGGTAGTTTTGCTGTTTACCAATCTTTAAATGAGCTGACTGTTCCTGCTGCAGCAGAACAGACTGTAGGAACTTAAGAGGACTGCCGAAATGTGCATTCCTAAGGGCCCTTGTATTTCGTGACAGTCATAGAAAGCAGCAGAAATCACCTGGTGCTGTTTTTTTTCCTCATATATGAATCTGCAACATGGACTATAGGTACAGAGTCCCACAAAACTACTTTTTGTCTTATGAATTTATCATTTCAATCCATCTAAAATTGTTTTTTGGTAAGGAATGATGTAACGTCTAGATCCATGTTTCTCCAATGTAGCAAGCCACACGAGGCAGCATTGCTTATTGATGAGACCTTATTTCTCCACTGCAAGATCCTGGGACTGTGGCATACAGCCAGTGTCACCTACGTGTGAGTCAGGGGTTTTTGTGCTTTTGTTTTCCTCTTTGAGAAATTTTAGTTTTTAAACCTTGGAAAGCCTTTTAGAGGAATCTAGAAACAACAAATGAAAAATATTGACTGATTTTATATATAAATTAAAAATTGTTTTATCAAAAATACAAAAAGGTAAAAAACTGAAGGCACAGACTGTGGACTATGACTCCGTTCTCCGTGTGACACACACACTAAGTAATCAATTTCTATAGCTGGATGAGAGAAGAAAAGCAACACAGGTAAGCCAGTAGATCTACGAGGAAAACATACACAGGTGATTCATGGAAGATACATAAAAGGCCGAAAGGTTTGAAAATATGCCCACTCTGGCTAGGAATCAGGAAAATGTAAACAAGCTACCAAAATGTGCTTCCTTCAGGTGTAGAAAAGAGTTAGCAGGACAACAGTGACCTATATCATTGAGGGACCAGGGAGTTGCACATTCATTATACACTGTTAGCAGGAAAGTAAATGATGCACACTTTTTAGAGGAAAAAATAGAAAGTCAGAGAAAAATGCATGCCATGTACATGCATTTATTGTATACCTACATGTAGTTGCAGGTGCACACAGTGTTACACAGAAAGTTACTGAAAATATATATTCTAAAATTGTAACTGTTATGCTATCCTCTTGGGAGATAGTATAGGCTGTAGGGGAGGGTGCAATGAGATCTCCAACTTTTAAATCCATCTACATTTTTAAATATTATTTGGATTTTTACCACCATGTTTTATTTTTGTAGTTAGAACTCTAACAATAAAATGTAAATAAATAAAATTTGTCTGAATAACTCTATATAAGTAATAACTTATAAGTTATAACTTATAACTATAAGTAATAACTCTATATAAATCTCTCTATATAAGTTCTATATTAAAAATAATTACAACCAAAGCACTGACCCAAAATACTTATCTTTGTGCATAACTGAACTTGAATCCATTTTATATTTTTTAAATCCCTTGTCTTAAATTTGCAATAAAATAAGTTAATTATATGAACATTTGAATATTTATGTGCCATGCAATCACATATGGCTTTATTGGGTGCTGTGCATTTTAAATAATTTATTTTTATCTTGCACTATAGATAAAAATGGAATTTAGAAACGAATCACACATAAGCTTCTCTTTTACTCATTCTCATTTGGGGTGGGTCCCTTGAAAAAGCGTTAACATAGGCGTCTCAGGTTGTTTGACTTGCTCACTTTTCAGTCACAGCTCTAAAGATTGAAAAGTCAAAGCCCTTTGATCATTCAGTAATGAATGAAGACAGATCTTGTTGATCATAGGAGAGGCACCAGCTTATCTGGGCTCTGGATTTGGTAATGAAAACTGACATATGCAAGAGACGCTTCCCCTATCTTGTTCGAGATCTGTAATTTGGATCTTGAATTGGATTTTTTTCTCAAAAGAAAAGGGCGTGCTCATCTACCCCGTGAATTCTAAACGCAGCCTTAGTAACATACTTTTTTAAAAAAAATTCAGTATCTAACTAAGACTATTTTCTACTCTCTCTGGCAATCAACCTAGAAAATATTACTAGAACTTGCCTGGTCTTCCTCTCTTCTTCCCCTCAACCAAGCACACAGGACATCCATTCTCCTTCTGCACACTTGCGTAGATCGCATTGTCTGAAACACTCCCCTCCTCCCAGCTGGGTGCACTCGTCGGCCCTTACCAGAAAACCTCTGGAATTGCTTCAAGACACCAGCAAAACTAACTTTTCCCACCTCCATTTCTCCTAATATTCTGTTCCAGAAAGTTTAACTTTAAAATTTACAATCTTGTGTGTGCATATAATCATATATAATATAGCATATATTTAAAATTTATGTCTAATATAGATTAGATTTTATATATGTATGTTATACACACACACACTTAATAACATAGTCTCCTAAGTTTGATTTTTAAGCTCCTAGGGAATAGGAACTGAAAATGAACTCATCAAAAGTACAGCACTTGAGCTGGGATTCCAGTGATTAGAGAAATTTTCCAAAGTAGCCAACATGTGTGAAGAGGCTTTTCAGGCAGAAGAAATCAACAAAATCACCAGGAGTTGATCGGCATGGCACACTCTGCAAATTTCCAGAAGTTTAATAGCATGGCGTCGATGGAAAATAAATGGAGGAGAGTGGGATGGGCGGTGGACTGAAAGTGGTGGCACGCTTGCTAGTAATGAGGTGCCCTGGGGTTGCCAGATGTGTGCTTGCTTTTCTCTTCAGAAAGTGAGGCTACGTAAAACATGTATTTGTTTCCATATGTCCACCGATTTAAATTTTTGCAAATTTGAAATGTAGACCTTTTAAGGGGATTGGCGGCATGGTGATGTGTTTTGCTGCATTGGAAGGAGTTTCAGAGAATAATGAATGTGTGAGAAAAGGCATGAATCTGCAACCTTTGGGAGATTTTAAAGTTTGATCTGTGAGTTTCAGTCAGTCACAGCTGACCGTCTTCAGGTAACTGTAAGAATCGTTCTCATTGCCCTTTCCAATAATACACATGTTCTTATTGCAACAAATGATACATATATAGGATATTATGTATCCTTAAACCCTTAAAAATTTACAGTTCCCAGGAAAGGAAAAAGGAATGATAATTAACTATAATAGTTTTTTTTTTATCACCATGATAAAAGAAGCTATCAGCTTCTGCCCCGTGCCCACAGCACACATTCAGTTTGTTTTCAATGTTCATGTTTCCCATGCTCCAGTTGTGAAAAAATAAGGTGAACATTGAGATAAATTGTCTGCCTTTAATTTGGTGGAAGACAAAAGTAAGGAAAACTTTGAAAAATATTTGTCATTAAATAAGTATTTTTGCAAACTCTTTACCCCTTCCACAAGCATTTGTTGGAAACCGGCTGTGTTTGCGGCAACACGGTGAAAAAGTTTGTAGTCCATCAGAAAGGGAGAGGAAAGACTTTTTTTTTTTTTTTAAATCACACAATGAAGGGAGAACTGTCGGGTATGCTGAGGATACAGGAGCATGAAGGGCAGTTCACACAAATGCCAGTCTGTGCGCCTCCTTTTTCCATGTACTTTCTTTTCTCTGTGGATTGTGGTCCTCCATCCAAAAGAATTCTGATACAGTGTGTCGGCGGCATCCTGGGTGCTGGTTAGGTTATATAAATACAGGAGTAAAATTCAAGAAATTACAGCAGTAAGGATAGCAAAAGTAAAATTTTACTGTGCCTTTTTATAACTACCCAGAAAAGCCGCTCCCATGCATGAAGAAGCAGACCAGTGCAACTCACATTGCGCGCTCTACCGCAGCTCTGCGCGGGGCCGCGCGGGCGCCTAGGGTCTAGAGATGCAGTGGTGGGCGCGCGGACACCAAAATGTAAGTCAGGGATTTTGTTTCACCCCCTCCTCTCCTCTCTTCAGTTCCAGATGAGAATAGAAATTCTGTTGTCTGTGCATCAAATTTTCCTTATCCATGAGAAAAAAAATGGAGGATTTGTGAAGAGAGTTATGTTTATACACAATCTCCATAATGTGCGGATCAGGCTGTACTGAGTTTGCGTTCATGTGAATCTGCACACGCACCTGCGCCGCTGTACCTGTCACTTTCTGTCCAACTTCGCTGCTAAGGGGCGGCGCGGGAGGGCTGGTCAGTGACTCCTGGGCTCTGGGCTGCCTGGACGGGTAATCTCAAACATGGGCGGAACACAGTCCCTCCCGGCTCCCCCCAATACAGGGCTTGACAATCTCTCTTGATGACATTAGGACAGAGGGTGAAATAAAGATGGATAATTTTAAAATGTAGCTGGATGTGAATGACCTTTTTATCCGTTTACGTGGCATATGTAGATTTTAGAGTCAAGACTACCAATAAATAACTTTGTATATATGATATCTCAGTTTTACACAAAATGTTTTAAATACATTACAGGTAAGTCTTTCATAAAAAATTGGTAAGTTAATGTATTAATTTACACAAATGTTACCTCTTTTGTAGTGTATTGTAGAGTCAGTGCACTTCGAAGATGCAAATATCTGACGAGAAATTATTAAAATATCCTAGCACTCATTTTAGAAAGTTTCTATTTAGTTGATTTTGTGTAGCCTTTCTCATGTGATTTGTATATTAAAAGAGATAATCGGTTCCCTTAAAATACTTGATTAGTGAACATGATGACACACATCACATCTTTCATAAATCACCCAATTCTTTCGCAAATATTATTTGTGGATGCATTTCTTATAAAACATACATTGGAATGCTCATATTATTAGGAAAACAGTTGTTCCAGGCATCAATTGTTTCATGGTAGTTAATCTTATCTAGTTCAGGAAGGGAAGTATAAATCCATCTGGGCCAAGAATGGGAACATGTTTAAAAGGAGAACAAAGGAATCCCATAATATAAATAGTAGAATGTGATCCTGATAGAGAGGCATTTTGCTGGTGAGACACTGTTTTAAGCTCTTCGTGTGTTACCTTATTTCATTCCTCCAGCACCAAGGGTGTCAGGTATGATCATGGCCCCTGTTCACATATGAGGACATAGACATATGGCGGGTAGAGGAACTTGCTCATTGTCACCAACTAGTAAGTGGGTAAGTGGATGCATTGGTCAGAGTTCCCCAGAGAAGCAGAACAAACAGGATGTAAGTATCTAATGGAAGAGATTTGTTCTGCAAATGTGCTGACTGATTGTAGAGGCTGAGAAGAATCCTGAGATCTGCTGTCTGGAGGCTGGAGACATAGAAAACTCGGTGTTGAAATAAAGTCCAAGTTCGAAGGCCTAAGAACCTGGGGAGCTGCTTGCGACAAAGTCCTGGAGTCTGAAGTCCCAAGACCTGGGATCCCCGATGCCCGAGGAAGGAGAAGGTGGATGCCCTGGCTTGGGAAGAGAGAAAGTGTGCCCTTCTCTGCCTGGTGGCTCTACCCAGGCCCTGGATGGATTAGCCGACGGCTGTCCACACTGGTGAAGGTGGATCCACACCGAGTGAAGAATGCAGATTCAAATGCCCATCTCTTCCACGGACACCCGCACAAACACACCAGTAAAAACGCCTTGCCAGCCATGTGGGCACCCCTAGCCCAGTCCAGCTGACACAGGAAGTGGCCGTCACAGTGAGGGCGGGCAGCTGGGGTCTGGGGTCTGTGCTCGGAACACACTGGGACCTCACAACCCAGGTGGAGGTGTTTGCGGAGACCCAGAGCGCTTGGTGACTTGCGAAGATGTGCGGCTGTTTGTTTGCAGAACCTGAATGACAGTCCCCTCTCTGGTCCCTGCTCTGTGGACTCCGTCACCTTCCTAAATTCTGTCTTGGCACAGCCCTTCCGTTCTGGGGAAAGCCTGAAAAGTCTTGAGATGTGACATAAAAGAAAGGTGTTGGTGAGAATGTGCCAATATCCCCCTCTTGGTGTTGGTAAAATTGGGCGATGTCAAGTTTATTCAAATTGCTAGATTGTCGACATCTTTTAAAGATCAGATTCCTGTGAACAGCTATCAGTAGCTAATGTTCTGAATACTGAATATCGATTAAGAACTGTAAAGGGTGTTCTGCAACGGCAACCACTGCAGACACCTGTCCACGGGATGGGCATTATCGCTGTTTCTGCTTTCAAAATGACAGATGTGAAGGATAGAAGGCAAGTGACTCGCCAAGATCACAGCGGGAGCAAGTGGCGGGGCTTATGTTTGAACCCGTGACTTTCTGCCATGAGTCTGTGAACTTAAACTCCCATAGTTACGCTGATGTTCTAGTAGTTGCTACTTTCCCTTTGAAATCATTACAAATAATTTTCTTTCCATTCCTTCAGAAATGAGTCTCTGAGTCAGTGCTGAGCACGCACCTTTCCTTGCAGGGCATTTAAACTCACTGAAGTGCCACTAAGGAGGCCGGCAGCGCTGGAGGCTGCACCTGCCCTGTTCCCGCAGTCTGCCTGCTTGTTAGCCTGTCCGGGTGCGCCTGCCGTGCCTTGCTCTGCCGTGTCCCCGGCCTTGTAGGGTTAGGGCGCCTGCACGTGAACCGGCGCACTATAATTGCGAGTAAAATGAAGTTCAGGTTTTGCTTTGCTTTTGTGGACACGACATTAGACCTCTTTTTAGTCCCTGTGCAAATTAAATTCCATGTCGCTTAGAAAGCATTTTGTGCCAGCCGCCGTTGAGATCTAGCTATCGTTGGGAAGCTCATGCGATGATCTCTCTTTGTCATTTTAAGCGCTCTGTGGAGGCTACATCCACGGCAAGAGTGGGACGGTCCTTTCTCCTGGCTTTCCGGATTTTTACCCAAACTCCCTCAACTGTACATGGACCATCGAAGTGTCTCACGGAAAAGGTGAGAACATGTCATAGCTCTCAAACATACAGAACAGTCAGTGAGCCAAAAACACAGGGCAAAGAAAAACTCATTACGGTGTGAACAAGCAAGATAACTGATTTTCTCACATATGTTTCGAACTGTTGATTTTTATTTTTGAAAAACTAGAAGAAAATGGTCTTTAATATTTGCTGCCACAAGCCCACACACATTCCTGGTGTGCCCTGTATTTATCAGGTAGCGTGGGTATATGCACATGAGCATGGCTTGACAATTAAGTATGATGAAAAGGAATAACGGCATCAATTAAATAAAATGCGAATATGAGTTAAATAAAAAGAAAAAAAAAGCAAGTATCTAAAGATCTAATGTCCATGATAAGTCTGGGATAGTTTTTGTACCTACCTTATGTTTTAAGTTTACCCAGTATTATCACACATAATAAATTATTTATCCTCATGTAATAAAGAGATGTCTTATAGAAGAGATATGATACTCCTCATTCTATAGACAAGTATGTTGAAAACCAGAAAAAAATTTGCATTTTATGCAGGAAATGCAGATTACAGGACTGCACCCTGAGTCTTTTTTCTGTGACTAAACTTGTCATTTGGAAGCGTCTGTTTGGAATTTTGATCACATAAATAGTGTGCACAGTTTGTCTTTCTACGTAGAATTGAACTCAACCTGATGTTAAGTTGACATTTTATTATATATACTGCATTACACTGTGCAACTGCAGATACATTTTAAAGAACTTAGCCCTGAGGGAAAGAAATTAAGGATAAAGAAGAGACAGATTATAAATGACCAGGGTTTTGTCATCATAAAAAAAAATGCATTTTTATGAAAAGTGACCTATGCATAGTTAATTTTATTCACTTCACTATAGAAATGCAAAAATAATACTCTGTGAGTATGTTATTCAGAGAACACAGGCACTGAGAGCAAATCCAACTACAATCTCAAGGACGTTTTCCCTCAGTTACATAGACCTCTCCCAATGGAGATTATCTGCCCATTTTTTCTTAAACGTCAAAGTTGGATTTAAATAGTAAGATAATTGTTTTTGATACTTTGATTCAAGATTTTGATGTCTCTAAGCCCAGAAAAAAGTATTTTTCAGCAACTGTTAATTCTGCTGACGTCTCTCTCTCTCCATCTCTGTCTCTGTCTCCTGTCTCTGTCTCTCTCACCTATTCTCTATCTCTTATCTCTGTGTCTGTCACTATCTCTTATCTCTGTGCCTTGCTCTGTCTGTCTCTGTCTCTCCGTCTCTCCTCTGCTGGGCTTCCCAGGAGTCCGGATGATCTTCCACACCTTCCACCTGGAGACCTCACACGACTACTTGCTGATCACGGAGGACGGCAGCTTTTCCGAGCCGGTCGCCAGGCTCACCGGGTCGGTGCTGCCTCACACCATCAAGGCGGGCTTGTTCGGGAACTTCACTGCCCAGCTGCGGTTTATATCCGACTTCTCCATCTCCTACGAGGGCTTCAACATCACCTTTTCAGGTACGGCAGTATTTTTCTTTTGTGCTGTTTCGCTCCTCTGGCAACAACACTGCGGTTTCTCTGAGTGAGCGTGAGTGAGTGTGTGCGAGTGTGATCACAGGTGTGTTTCCAACCCCGGGGGGCACGGGCCTGCCCCCCCTCGTGATGCAGGATGCAAGGACATCAGCGAAGCGTCCAGGAAACACCACTGTGCCGTACGTACTTTCTGCAAGTTCTCATCTTTGAAAAACTGTAAATATCACTATCGTTTGAAAAGCCTTTCTCACCCGTTTCTCGTCAACGATTCTACCAAAATCTCGGAGGAAAGGTTCCGCGTCGGGAGGCTTACCCAGGACCAGCTGTCATCGGCTGTGTTGGTTCCTGCCTTCCAGGAGACGCCAGTATTTGTGCTGAGAACAGCCCCAGGATGAGCAAAGCATGGACACACACAATCGAGGATGAGCTTTTAGTTTATTTTACTTTATTCGTACACAGTGACAAGACACTTTTTTTATCTTTCATCACATAGATGATATTTGCACAGGGTTTATGTTGCATCAGACTTTTGTATGGGTTAGATTGTCTGGTTTATATAGTTCTATGACATAGGTATTGATATTTTTTTACAGGCTGGGCGTGGTGGCTCACACCTATAATCCTAGCACTCTGGGAGGCTGAGGTGGGCAGATAGCTCAAGGTCAGGAGTTCAAAACCAGCCTGAGCAAGAGCGAGACCCTGTCTCTACTAAAAATAAAAAGAAATTAGCTGGACAACTAAAAACATATAGACAAAATTAGCCAGGCATGATGGTGCATGCCTGTAGTTCCAGCTACTTGGGAGGCTGAGGCAGGAGGATCGCTTGAGCCCAGGAGTTTGAGGTTGTTGTGTGCTAGGCTAACGCCACGGCACTCTAGCCCAGGCAACACAGTGAGACTCTGTCTCAAAAAAAAAGGAATATTTTTTTACAGATGAGAAAAATGTTACACACACTTAAAAACTGGTGCAGCCTGTGCGGGAGGAGTCTGGTCACATAAACACACAGATTCAGAGAGCCTGTGGTGCTCAGGGCCCTGCATTGCCCACAGTGTCCACATCCTCTGCCCCACCCCGCCACACAAAGGGGACTGCTGCTCTGCAATTATTGATGGGTGTAAATAATTATATTAATTTGCAACTTGAATAGATGATGCTTTGGGAAAAAAAGAAGTGTCTTCCCTCCTCCCAAATCTAATGTGATTTTCATGAAATGGTCACTGAGCCCCACAATGGCGTGTGATTTCTTCTATTTATCAGATCTCGGAATGACTATTGATGGCACTTATGAGATTATTTGTTGCAGTATTTGAGTATCATCTCCTGTACTGAAACTGAAAAATCGTGATAGAAGGGTTTTTCTTTGCTCCATCTTCCTACATACATTAGCTCTGTTGCTGTATTTTACACACACACCTGACCCAGCACAGTGTGGGGTTTTAGTGCTGACCCTTTGGCAGTAGGAAATCTGAGTATAGCTTTTGACTCCCCCAAAACTGACCTGCTAATGGTCTAGACTAGTATCTCAACATATTTTATGCATTCATGACATCCTTAGCTTTTTCTCAATTTTTAAATACTTTTAGACTATGTGATTTATCTGTATGTTTATTTTCAAGTTGTCACAAATCACAAAATCATTTTCTAATATGTTTGTTGGAAAAAAACCTGTGTATAAGTGGGCCTGACTGTTTAACCCATGTTGTTCGATAGTGAACTTTAGTAGGAACTTAATAATTGCTTATTAACTACAGCATGGTCTTTAACATTATATAAAATGAAATGTTATCTTAAAGAAAAAAACCTTTCTCAGAGAGCTTAAGATCTTCCAGAACTGTGTCATACTCTTTGTCATTCTGCCCAGTTGCCATTTGTCTTGCTCGGACTTTGTTGATTTTTCTTGGCATTTCACTGCCTAAGTGGTGCTTTCAGGGCTGGCTCAGACTGCTTGATTTCTTGGAAATTTGCTGTAATCAGTGGTAATCATGAAATTGGCCACTTCATATATCAAAGATTTCAATGTTCCTAACACTAATACCTAAATCCCTCTCTGTGCATATTCTCCCCGGGGTGTGTCTCAATGAGGATCACTAAGAGGGTGTTGCTTTCCTCTGTTTTTGCTTTCATCATGATTCAAAATGAACATAAGTAGAACACGCCAAAGAAAGATAACGGCCTTGATGCAATCTGGGGACACCTCCCACAGGTGCTTCTCATGAGACTGTCCACGTTCCATTCACTCCATCCCACCTGTTCCTTATTCTAGTGCTCTGAGCACAAGACTCACAGGAAGTCTTGTGATGGCTACTGTCTTTGTTTGTGATGCTGTAACAAAATACCTGAAACTGGGTAATTTATGAAGAACAGAGTATTATTTCTTACAGCTCTGGGAGTCGGGAAGTCCAAGATCAGAGCACTGGCTTCCAGGGAGAGCATTTTTGCTATAGCCTCATGGCAGAAAGGCAGATGCCCTTTTGTTGTATCATTAACCCATGCCTTAGGGTGGAGCCCTCATGAACACCCCCCAAAAGGCCCCACCTCCCACTGCCCCTACACTGGGGATCGAGTTTCCAACACATGAATTTGGGGTGACACATTCAGACCATAGCAATTATCAAAAATTTCAACGTAACTTTTAAAGCTGCCTCTCTCTTTAGTAAACTCTTACACAGACAGGCAAGGAAACACCACCACCACAAACAGCAGCAACAACAAGAAGACACTCTTCATTGGGGCTTTCAAATCTCTTTTGGGCAGTTTAAAAATATTTTTGGATGTTAAAACTAAAGTGCTAACAGTCTGTGAATATTCAGAATGATTCATTTACACATAAACAATAGAAATTATACATAAAGCTGGCATAAGAAGTCAACTTCATCTATAAATTCCCAACAAGCACAGTTTTTTTTAAAAAATGGCTTTGATTGCAAAAGTCAATTAGATGTGCTAGGGGAATAATTTTATTTTGGAAGAATTTTGCCTTGAAACTGGGCTGCAAACAATTGCCAATGACAGTGATACAACGGAGTTTATTTTTTAAGTATTCAAATAGGTAGCAGCTTTAATATACAAATTCATTTACCCGTCTGGGGAGCTTCTCTGTTCTTTATCCAAATGGCATTCATGGTGTTGTAGGACTTCCTATACTGGGGGTATCTTTCAGAGGATATCATTGAAACTGCGGAATACAAATATACACAAAGCAAAGAACCTTTAAGACTGTAGTGTTTCTTTACATAATACAATAGGTACAGCATAAAAGGCTATCAAATTTTTCTGTTTGGCAAGAGGATTCAACTGTTTTTGAAGAAATGATAGGAAAGATTTGGTTTGAGTTGAGAGCATACTATATAAGCCCTTAAATAGAAGGAGAATGATACCAGCAAGAAGTATGATAAACTTTCCTGGGTTGTGACATATTTATCTGAGAATTTCCTAGATATTCTATCACTATGTTTTTGTGTACAAAAGGTTTTCCATAAATATTTGTTGAATTTAATTAAATAGCACTGTTTATGTTTTTTCTCTTCCTGCCTGGTACTATAGGTTATTATGTATGAAATGTCTGATTTCCTTAAGTACTAAGTTTGACAGTTGATATATCTGACATTTCACTTTGACACTTCTCGTTTTATTTACATTGTGAAGGTACATCCTCAGGCTTACAAATATGTTTTGTCTTGTGATTATCTTTCAAATTTCTTTTGAGCAATTGTTGTGAAGCCATGGATAAGTCAAACATTTGTGTTATTTTTGAATATGAGTTCTGTTGTGGGACGAACGAATGCAGTGCAAATAGCTCAAAATATCAATGAAGTGTTTGGGAAGGATGTGGCTAATGAACACACAGTGAGAGCATGGATAGTTCGAGAAGTTCTGTCCTGGTGATTTTAATCTTCAAAATGAGCCATGTGGGTGACCTGAGACCAAGGTGGATAATGATGAGCTGAAAGCTGTAGTGGAAGTGAATCCATCTCAACCTACGTGTGAAGGAGCAGTGAGGTTTGACGTTGTTACTATTCCAACAATATCAGACAACTTGAAACAAATTGGCAAGGTAAAGAAGTTGGATGGATGGGTTCTGCATGAATTAAACGAGCATCAGAAGAGAAATCTTCTCTAAGCTTGCCTTTCTTTGCTGTCATGTCATAAAGGCAAACCATTTCTGCGCCATATTGTTTTGTGTGATGAAAGATGGACTATTTTTGAAAATTGCAAGCATTCGGCACAACGGTTGGATAAAGATGAAGTGTTGAAACACAGTCCAAAACTGAATATTCATCAAAAAAAGCTAATGGAGTTTGTTTGGTGACCCGTTGCTGGTATTATCCACTACAGCTTCATGAAACCTAGTCCATTGATGACAGCGGATGTCTCCTGCAACCAACTGGATGAAATGATGAGGATGCTTGCTATTAAGCAGCCAAGATTGGTCAACAGAGACAGGCCAATCCTCTTGCAAGACAATACTCGACCATGTGTCACACAGACAACACTACTCAAACTACAGAAACCGGACTTGGAAACTCTCTGTCATCCACGTATTTACCAGACCTTGCCCCCAACTGACTACCACTTCTTCCAGGCTTTGGACCACTTCTTGCAAGGAAAAACAGCCCATTCTCACCAAGCTGTCGAAATGCCTTTCACAATTTCCTCACCACCTCCTCTACAGGCTTCTTCATTGCTGGTGTAAACAGGCTACTGTTAAGATGGCAAAACTGTGTTGATAGTTTGGGCGCATACTTTGACTTATCATACTGCTTCTTGTTTGAGATGTGATAAACTACACTTCTGATTCAAAGTCGAACATAACATATTTAATGGCCTAAAGAACAATAGGTCAAATGCATAACTATGTTTCATGATTGGCCAGATTAGTTTGAATAGATTGTAGATCCAGAGTAGATTTCTTAACTAAATGAACAGCAGAATGGAGACCATACCCCTGAGGTGGACTAGTAAGCTGAGTGAGATGAATGAGGATTTCATCACCTCAAACATTTGTCATTTCTTTGTGTGGGGAACATCTCCCGTCTCTTCTACTGTTGCAACATACACAGTCCCTTATTGCTAACTGTACTCACCTCACTCTGCCATGGACAATGGGACTTAGTCCTTCCATCCAGCTAGGTGTTTGTACTCACTAGCCAATCTTTCCTGTTCCTCCGGACACTGTTCCCAGCCTCTCATAACCATCACTCTAAGTCTGTTTTTTTGTGTTTTTTTTTGAGACAGAGTGTCACTCTGGTGCCCGAGCCAGAGTGCCGTGGTGTCAGCCTAGCTCACAGCACCCTCAAACTCCTGGGCTCAGCAATCCTCCTGCCTCAGCCTCCTGAGTAGCTGGGACTACAGGCATGTGCCATCATGCCCGGCTCATTTTTTTCTATGTATTTTTAGTTGGCCAATTAATTTTTTTCTATTCTTAGTAGAGACAGGGTCTCGCTCTTGCTCAGGCTGGTCTCCAACTACTGACCTTGAGCGATCCTCCCACCTTGGCCTCCCAGAGTGCTAGGATTGCAGGAGTGAGCCACCACGTCCGGCCTCTTAAGTCTGTTTTTTGAAAAATACCAAAACCATTGTCATTTGCCATAAAAGGGCACATAGTACCAAGGAAGACATTCCACACAACCGTATAACTAAATCTAGGGAAATATATATACGTATATATATTAGTTTTTAATAATAGCACTTTTTTATTCTTGCAAATTGTGGGGTGTCTACTCTGAATGCCCACACATTTTCGCTGTCTTTCCCTGTCTCAGAGTATGACCTGGAGCCGTGTGACGATCCCGGAGTCCCTGCTTTCAGCAGAAGAATCGGCTTCCACTTTGGAGTCGGGGACTCTCTGACCTTCTCCTGTTTCCCGGGGTACCGCTTAGAAGGTGCAACCAAGCTTACCTGCCTGGGTGGGGGCCGCCGTGTGTGGAGCGCACCTCTGCCAAGGTGTGTGGGTAGGTGGTCACACGCTTTCATTTCATTCATCCATGGGGACAGGGCGCGGCCCGGGCAGGAGGAAGGTGGGGGGTTGATGAGGAAGGAGAGTGTGAGAGCGGGGAGGGGGGAGGTGCAGGGACCGCCTCTCCAGGCCACCCAGCCAGCGGGGGGGTGGGGGGTGGGTGCTTAGCCACTCTGGGGCTGAGTTATCTCATCTGTAAAGTAAGACCTTTCAGCTCTGTAATTTTATGATTGAAGAAGAGTGAAACCAAAGCATGTGTCAAGCCTATTTATGAAAGGGGGAAAAGATATGTAAAAGATAAGTGTGCATATATATGTACATATATGTATATACGTGTGTGTGCGTATATATATATATATATATAATCTGAAACAAAAGGAAAAAGTAAAAGCTAGATGCCAAGCTGTGAGAGCAAACCTCTGACAATTATGTTGATTAAAAGCATTGAGTCCCTCCTCCGCCCCCGCCCACAGTAACAATGGTGACGACTAACATAGCAGTTTTTGGTTTTCTTGTCAGTTGATTGGATGATTGTCGCATACTCCTGAAAAGTGGGCATGAAGCAGTTTGGATGCTAAATTAGCTTTTTTCTCAGTGTGTTCTTGAGGAATTCAAGAGGTGATTCCAAAGAGCAGCAGGACATGTTCTCTGGCTGCTTTGCGAAGAGGAGCTGGGCTCGCGTGCGTGCTGTGCATGGCCTGCCGTTCCGTGGGGCGCCAGGTGTCGTCCGTCGGGTGCCTGAGCTGCCAGGAGGAGCCGAGGAGAGGACTGTGGGGCCGTCATGGCTTAAGCGGGCTGTGTTGCCCGCAGCGCCAGAAGCTCTGTCCTCAGCCCCAGAAAGAAGGCCTGTGCCTGCTGCTCCGCCCATCACGGGTGTGGCAAACTGTTCTTTCAAGTTACAGCAAATTGCCCAGTGTCATTGTGAAGCAAAAAAGGGGGAGATTAAAGATTAACTGCGATTCCCATCAGTGGTGAGCCTTCCGAATCCCTGGGGAATCCGCGACAGCTTCCTCCCGATCGCACCAGTGGGCAGACCAGAGGCAGGCGGGGAGGTCTGGAAACAAGGGCATTGACCTGCGCAGCGCGCCGGCCTGCTCATTGGCAGAGCTCGGGTTCCCCTCGCAGTCTCTGCAGCTGTCGGCACTGCTTAGGAGTGCCATGCGGCTCCAGACAAACGCTGTCTTTCGGGCTTTCGATGAGCCAGAGATAGTCAGATAGGGCTTCCTTATAAAAAAAATTAAACAAGTAAATGTGAGCCAAATCATCTTTATCTCTTACTCTTAGGAGTTCCAGAGATGCCTGGAATCTATTCCCCAGGTTAGAGACTCTGAACTGAGGTAGTTTGAGATCCCAACTCAGTGGAAACAAAGCGCCGTCGTCATTCTAGCGACGGAGCATTCAGTGGTCTGTTGGCTGCACGGTTCCATGTGAGGTTGCTCCGTCTTATCTAGATTCGTTATCTTTATACCCGAGTTGTTGTTAATTCGAGTTTTTACTCTGTTGTCTAAAACAGGAAATAGTAAATACCTACACTTAAAATAACAGTTAACTCTTATGGCACTCTTGACTGTAGACCAGGCACTGCTCTGGGCTCCCTGCACGTATGGGTTCGTCTGATCGCCTGGCGTCTCTGTGAGGAGGGCTGTCACTGTCAGAGCCCTCGCACGGGCGGGAATACTAAGGCACAGAGAGCCTGCGCACGCTGCCCGAGCACGCAGAGCTAGTGGGATTCAGTCCCGGCCAGGCTGCAGCCCAGCCTCCCCCCCACTACCCTGGAAAGGGCCCAGGGGCCTTGGACTGGCTGTTGTCTCTCGCTCGCAGTTTCCTGATTTTCCTCCAGCCCCTCTGGTTGCAAGATGGCTTTTAATAAACAGCTTATTGATCATGCTAAAATCCGCCATTGCACACAAGAGGCACCTCTGGACACTGTCTCTGTCTCTCTCTCTCTCCCCTCCCCTTTCCTCCCCCCCGCCTCACTCCCTCTCCCCCATTCTCCCACCTGGTCAGCAACCTCCCCGTCCCCCCATCCTCCAGCCAGACACCCGCTCCTCCCCAGACATGTCCTGAGGTTTCTCCCAGTGGGGCCCACACACGCCAGGGGGACTCAGTGGCCAGAATGCTCCATCCCAACTGGAAACCTCCTCACTCTGTCCCGCTTTAACAGACCACGCCAATTGTTCCTCGTACTAGTCACGCAAACCCTCCCCACCTCTGTCACGACACAGGCATGCGCATGTTGGCTACAGGTTTGTTGTATGCGGCTTTTATGACTTCGAGAGATGTTCCATCTGGGACCATTTTGTTAGGAGTCTTCATCATAAAAGGTGCTGAATTTTGTCAAGTGCTTTTCTGTGTCTGTTGAAATGATCGTATGATATTTGTTTTGATTTTTTTTTCTTCCCACAGATACAAATACTAAAATCTTCTTTCTTGTCCTACCTTTATGGTGCAATATGAGAAATGATGATATGGTTAATGTCTAAATGCTAATGCACTAACAGATATCAGCTGTAGTTTATTGGTGACCTATTTTGAACAAAAGTCCTTTAAAATCACTCCCTCTTCTAGACCATTTATGTTCTTATTACTCCAGTTCCGTTATTGTTAATTATGAAGGGTATTATGAATTATCCGTTGTAAGGTAGATTTAAGCGTTATTTAGGATACAAAAAAGGTGTGACTCTCTTCCTGAGCGCTTAGCCGTTTATATCACATCAATAATTTGTATTAGTTGCATGATCTTGGGAAAGACATTGGCTTGAAAACTATTCTGTGCTTCAGTTTCCTGATCTGCAAATGGGGTTATCGACCTGGCATATAAGGTTACTGCAAGTATTAATAAGTAAATGAATGTAAAGAACCTAGAAAAGTATGGGACACCAAATAGCATTATCACTCTAGTGAGAAGTTAAACCTGAGAATGTGCGCACGACTACACAACAGCATCATTATCTTATGTCCGTTTTGGACTCGTAGAACTTTAGAGCTGCAGGCATTCTCAGTGTAAATTATTTACTTTCACAGTGAAACAGGCTGACAGGTTATAACTTCCTCCGAGTTGACAGAAGATAGGGAGTTATGTTTATTTTCACTTTTACCTTAATGAAAGATGTTTTGTTTTATACAAATGTGGAACTAGATAGAAGTCATCACCCTCTTTCTTTATCAAAATAAAATAAAATAAAATAAAAGATGTGGCCAGGCGCGGTGCCCCACACCTGTAATCCTAGCTGTCTGGGAGGCTGAGGCAGGTGGATTGCTTGAGGTCAGGAGTTGGAGACCAGCCTGAGCAAGAGCGAGACTACATCTCTACTAAAAATAGAAAGAAATTAATTGGCCAACTAAAAATACATAGAAAAAAGATGAGCCAGGCATGGTGGCGCATGCCTTTAGTCCCAGCTACTCGGGAGGCTGAGGTAGGAGGATCGCTTGAGCCCAGGAGTTTGAGGTTGCTGTGAGTTTGAGGTTGCTGTGATGCCACGGCACTCAAAAAAAAAAAATCAAGAGAAAATAAAATTTTAAAAAAAGACAATAATGTCTGTTGCTGTTGAGCGCCCTTCCATCCTCAGGTGTGATGTGAGTGGGTGAGTCCAGCGCTCCAACATCCTAGGATACAGCTCGGTGGTTTTGTCTATTGTCAGAGCAGACTGACACCACGACATGTCTGTGCAGAGGAATCACGGTGGTGCAGCTGTGGAACGGGCACATGGGAACGGTTGGGCGGGAACATTTCACGAGGCAGAAATGAGGCGTGGCAAGGTGATGCCACAACCCAACAAGAGCAGCCGTGAGCCCCTGTGCTTAGGCATGTCTATTTTGTTCTAGAACTCTCTATAGGATGGCATGCTGCTTCTGTGCAGTAAGAAGAGGTTCATTCTATTAAAAGAAATAAGAAAACATGGAAAATGAGACGAATGCATTATCTTTTCTGTCTAGGTGGTTAATACCATAAAAAAAAATCACCAACCTATTTTTGAAAAGCTATATTGTTAATAGGCATACGTTGATAGAAGAGAGGGCTGTCATAATGATAAAGTTTTTAATCTGTTGATATCAGTCATTCCTCTTGTGAACCTTCTTTCTCTAATGTCCTGTATATTTCAGCTGAATGTGGAGCAAGCGTCAAAGGAAATGAAGGAACGCTACTGTCTCCGAACTTCCCGTCAAATTACGATAACAACCACGAGTGCATCTATCGAATAGAGACAGAGGCTGGCAAGGGGGTCCACCTCAGAGCGCGGAGCTTCCAGCTGTTCGAAGGGGATATTTTAAAGGTAAAAGGAATCTTCTCGAATGTGACAACTCCATCTTTTCTTATCAAGGGATGTACTACCTGTCTACATAGATAAAGGTAGCTACATTCATTATCCCATGTATATAGTTTATCACATATATGTATAGTTTAATTTACTTATGCAGTTGGTTTGAGAAGGTACAACGTAGCGTTGCTTCAAAGAGCGTATGCAGACATTGAAATAACTTTGCCAGTAATCCTGGATCTAACATTTCTTAGTCGTGTATCTTGTGTAAGTTATTTAACTTTTTTTATCCTTAACTTCCTTATGGGTAAGAATATGCAGGGATACTGATCTTTGGGGGCTGTTTTGAGGATTACATGCTATAATGTATGCGGATGTATCTAGCATTGTGCCTGGCACATAGTAGTCATTGTGAAAACTTCCAGGGCCCCCAAGCCAACCCTTTCTAGAGCTACCATCAATTTTTAAACGTGGTCACCACATTTTTAAAGCTGGAAGGATGCTGGTGCGGTAATGGGAGCAAGTCCAGTCGCCGTCACTGGAAGACAGAGCAGGGCTCGTGAGGGGAACCCAGGGGCGAGACAGGGGCTCCCTGTGCATGGCAGGGGCTCCCCGGTCTTGCCTTGATGTATAAAGTTCCAGCTCCTGCTGGAATGCCCCTTAATTCTTAAGACTTCTGATACAGTTCCCAGGAAATTGGGGATGTCTAGGGGCTGGGCACTGGGTGACCTACCTCAGGGCATTGACAGAGGAAAGCTCTGAGCAGCCAAGGCTGATGCCATGAATCATCCGACCCAACACCCGCCGGTTCCAGTGGGAAGGTGAGCGATTACCGGCCGCACAGGTGATCTTTGGCAAGAGAGGGACACATGGCTCTTCTTACTCCCTTCCTAAAGTTCTAGGTTTTTCCAGTTGTGTCTGCTAGACGCACACAGTGATGCAGCTCAGATTCGGCGGAGTCAACTCACCTTGAGCTGTGAGCATCAAGAGAGAATATGCAAAGCTCCGACCAGAAGGGGAAAGTTTGTCTTCCCCTTTCACAAGGGCCAGACCCCAGGCCACGCGGGGCTGGGCCCGGCCTCGCTAGAAGTTTGAAGTTGTGCTCACGGGTCGGCAGAGGCCTGCCTGTAGCTTACTTCCTCCCAAGTCCACGCCCCGCTGTATTTCAAAGTCGTATTTTAGTAGAGGGGTTTCATCCTGGTTGTTCTTTCATTTTCATGGTCTTTGGAAAGCTCACGCTGGCAGTAGAGGAGGACTCTAAGAAGTGGTTTTCAGGCAGGAAACTAGCACATTCTTACTTATACAAAGAAAAAATTTTAGTTATGTCATAAGTAAGCATTTTCTGAATTCTTTGATAACCTCAAATTTAGAAGTCAGTAAGCCTTTAAGGCAAACTTTTAAATAATTCTTGACTGTGCTCTGGTTCAGGTGAGTGATTAGAGGTATTGCGTAAAATACACATGGATCAATATTGGAATGGAAAGAAGGAACTCATGTTCACTTGTGATTGTGTGCATTTTAAACTTATCGCTTACAACAAAAAGTAAAAAAAAAAAATTCTCACTTAACACGTTTGATTTCAGAGAAACTGTCAATCATGCGAAATGCCTAAATGTTTTGCAAACACATATTTTGTTGAACGTGCTAATACAAGTCTCTGTTAAAATGTTTAAAGTGAAATTATCTTAATTTCTGAGCATACCGCCGTTCACATTTCTCCTTCACACATACAGTGATTCAATAGTAAAGACTGAAATTCTATACACACACCCCTCGCACATACATAAACATGATGTTTTCTTGCTTCCTGCGGAAAAGTCATGTAAGGGAAACACAGCTCTCGGGAAGACGTTGGGAAAGGAAAGTATAACCGAAAGAGCAATCAATTACGGAACCAAAGCCCTGGGGTATGGTTTCTGCAGAACTGGGAAAGATTTCCCTGGAACCTCTGGCATTATCGCTCTGGGATCCCGCGTGATGCTTTCTAATCTGCGATCGTCTGCTGATGGCTGCATGCCTTAGAGCACACGGCGTTGATTACAGCTCCGAGGAGGGCTGGTGAGGCACACAGCTTTGGATGGAACAGGTGACTCCAGCAGGCTCTTTCTAATGACTGGAAGGAGCCCTTCGAGTGCAGTCTCCCGTAGACGGGGGAGTATAGGTAGGAGACGCTCGGATCAACACAGCCTGTTGCTCACGCAGTCGGCATCAAACAGCACGTCTTCCGGCTCCCTCCCCGTCTCTGCATTTTCACTGGCAATCAAGGCAAAACTTGAACTCTAATTCTCAACTATAATATAGTCTGTGACCCGCTCGCTCTGACACGCCTGTTGCCGAGCACATGCTAACTGCTGGGGGTACACGTGGAAAAGGCAGGATTGCTGTTTTGGAGAAAATGGAGACTCAGCGTCCGAGCCGTTCATTTCCCGCTGCTGAGACCATGAGGCTGCTGAGGGCGAGATGCTGCCCGTGTGACTTAGTCAAGGCCCCTGGGACGCGCGGGCGAGGCCTCCCGAAGAAGCCAAGGTCCAACGGAGCCGACCAGGTGACAGTGTCCTGGGACTGGGGGAGGGGGGGTTAGCTGCACGGTCAGTGGTTTCGTGCCTCGCCAGCTCCGTAGATTTCTGTGAATCACAACCACATGGGATATACCGTGATTCCCCCCAAATACGACAGGGTCTTATATTTATTTTCCCTCAAGAAGACACCCTAGGGCTTATTTTCAGAGGATGTGTGTGTTTTTTTAAGTACAGTACAACAATCTCCATTTATTCAAATATAGTGAAGTCGTCTTCTTCTGGAACATCATCATCACGGTCCAAACCCCGAATTCCATCCTGAATTTCTTGCGACTCTATTTCCTTTAGAACCATTGGCCCCAGTCTCTCATGTCGAGTGACAGAGCTCTCCTGGGGCAGACGAGAAGGGCTGCTCGTCTTCTTTCCCGCTCCGTGAGGAAATGCCCGGGCTGTGCAGATGCGCTGTGCAGCCAGCACGCCCAGCACTAGGGCTTATTTTCGGGGTAGGGCTTATACTGTGCAAATGCTTAGAAATCCTGGTAGGGCTTATCTTATGGGTAGGTCTTATTTTGGGGGAAACATGGTAGTGTAAACTGACTGAGACCTTCCTGGGAGACCTGGACGTTTAGAATCCTCTGGATTTAAACTCTCTGCTGTGTGTCAGACCCCTCGACACGTCCATAGAAACCAGGTATTAAACCAGTGATTTTTAAACAATAGCCTGTGATAATAATAGCCTTATAGTGAGGAAATGAGAGGGCATTAGTGTGTGCTTATGCAATTTTAATGAAACAATTATCCACAAAATTAATTTTTCCCCTTTTATGAGTGCGTACGTGCATGTGTCAGTCTCCCGAGGAACATGTATGCTTTGCGTGTGGATTGGAAGAGAGGTGATAAAAGAAGAGTAAAAATTGATCTTTACAAGGAGGGGATAAACACGTGATGGAAGAGGCTACTGCGGGCTGTGATCACCTTTATTTAATTGTTAAGGTGCTCTTTTGAATCAAGAAAAACTCGATGCTCTTCAACTTAGTGAAACACGTTTTTATTCACACTTCCAAACAACCTTATTTCCAGAAGGTGGTTCCCTGCCTGTGAGAGGAACAGGTTAACCGCCCCACCCACCGGTCCATGCTACTGGGGTGTGAGGGGCCACAGCCCTGAGCTCCACTGCAGCGCCCCTGCCCTGCGGTCTCTGCCCGGTGAGCGCCACCCCCTTCGCAGGAAGCTTGGTCCCGTGTCCCACAATGCCTGGCGAAAGCGGTTTGCCCCGGTCCCACCAGGATGTGGGGCCGGCACCAAGCCCCCCACGGCCTCTCTCCCTGTCATCTGGGAACTGGTCACTGAGACTTTTCTCTGCCCTGCCCCCAACATACGGTCAAAACCAAGTCCTGTGCACTCGATTTCCATACACTGTTTACATCCACTCACGGTTTACAGCCACTCAGAAAGATCAGGTCAAATACAAAGTGTTTTAGAGCAAAATGACCCTTTCCCCTATTATTAGTGCAGGATAGGATTTTTTTTTATTATTATTACAATAAATTCAAGATTAAAGTCACCCCAGGCTGACGGACTACAAAATGTGGCAGGATTTCAGCCCATCGTGCTGTCTTTTCATGCCTTCCAAGAGAGGGGGACGGCGGAGATGGGATGTTTTCTCGGTTAGTGGGTAGTTCGGAGAAGATACTCAGGGCTAACACAGGATCACCCTTTCTTCCTTTCTACCTGGATTGTGAGGAAGGGCATACAAAGGCAGATAATGGAATCTGGACATGCAAAGGAATATTTATTTAATTTTACACGAACACAGAAAGAGCTCTTAAAGTCATGGATGTAAAATGATCTGAGCAAAAATGGAATCTTTTGTCTCTAGTATTAGCGCTAAAGATACAACTTAAAGAAAGGAAGATAATTTAGCACTAACTCATCCATTTACCTTTCTCCAAACTGTGTAACTTTTAGAGTAATATATAAAGCCACATCTTTGAAGATCTGAATTTCTTGTGAAAATTGCTAGCATAAGAATACAATTAAGGAGTGGGGAGCTCATGCAGTGAATTTCTTCCCTAGGTGTATGATGGCAAAGACAGCTCCTCACGTCCCCTGGGAGCCTTCACCAAAAGTGAACTGCTGGGGCTGACCCTGAACAGCACCTCCAACCACCTGTGGCTGGAGTTCAACTCCAACGGGTCGGACACCGACCAAGGGTTTCAGCTCACCTACACCAGTAAGTAGCGAACGACAACTCTATTCTCGTGTTTTTTTAATCTTTCCAGGACGCATCTGATGCTTGTCTTATATGATAAGTTATAATCTTTGTTTTTGTTTTTTTCTTCTGGCTGCCTACTGTGTTTTGGGTCGTGGTTTAATTCTGTACATTGTTGATGGGACAGTGTAGACACATTTCTAGAAATGCATTTAATTATAAATATTCATATTTTAATAATGAATAGCTGGACCTGAAAAGGAAACATCTCCTGGGCTTAAAAATACTGACTGTGGTATAGTATACAATGATAAAAATTCACAAACTTATATATGGAGGATTTAGAATGAATGATATAACTAGAGGTTATGGACTAAATGACTGATTTTACATTATATGTATATTATATATATATAATCATATGTATAATTTTATATGCATATAACCACACACATTTAACAAGTTCTGTAGTAAATTGTTTTCTCATCACCACTAATTCCCAAGATGAGAAAACTAGCAGAAGTCATTTGAGTACTTGCTCAAGATAACAGTTCTATGAGTTGGTGAGGCCAGGATTTGATCTGTATTTCACAACGTTAAGCAGTATTCTTTAGTACTCCCCGAATATTGTAAATCAATATGAAATATTTTTATTTATTTAAAAGATGTAATTGAAGAAGACAAAAGAGGGGGAAAATAAAGAAGTTGTGTCTCACAAGGGCAGTATACAGTACAGTAACTGACATTTTCAGCATTTGTAATGCCAAAGTTAAAATATTAGCTATTTGGTGTGGATAACTAATTAAAATTAACTCATCCATTAATTAAATGCTTAGAATACATAAAACAGTCCAATCCTTCACTAATCTGATGATTGAAAAACAATGTAACAGTGAACAGCACAACATGAGGAATCAAGCTTGGCTTTGGGAGCATGAAGGTGCGTTGGGAGCAGCAGGCCTGGCCTGCTGGCCTGATCTGACAGATCAGCGCCGAAGCCTGGATGGATAAGGACCGCCCCACAGACCACAGCTACTCCGAGTGCCTGGAGGAAGATTAATTGTCTTGAATCCCTTTTAGTAGGAGAAATTACACTTGAAGGGTTGTAGAACCCTGGGCAAAAATAGAATTAGAGTGGCTGACATCATGAGAAAAGCAATTTTTCACTTTCTCCATAATACCGTTGGAAAGGCTGAGTAAATAGCAAGTGTATGAATTAATTTGTGTGCATGATGAACTGGCAACAATTGCTGCAATAAAATCAATCTACAATTACATTGAGAATGTCGCTTCCAGGATCTCACTCTCAGACAAGTTTCAAAGAGCTCTTATGAAATCGTTCTGCTTGCAGATGAAATATCTCCCAATTCAGTTTCTCCATCTGTGGAAAATTTGTTTTGTTTTCTTATGTGTATGTGTTAATTCCCACTTACGCCTATGCTAGACTTAGTAGACTATGAACACTTGATAAGAAAAACTGTGTGAAATATCTTTAGGTGGACTTCTAGGTTAGTATTTCAGGCGAATATCCCACGACGTGCACTTACAGTTCTCTTGCCACTAAACATGTTCTGTTGCCTTGGTTCATTTCACGAATCATGTCTCTGCTGTGGTTCTCTCAGCAAAGAGCAGAAACTCTGCCCTGGTGCCTCCCTCCCTCCTATTCACACCTCTGCACCCTAACCCTATCATTACACCTAAAACTGTAACCGTCACCCTAACCCTAATCCCCTAACCCAAAACTCACACTAACCCTAACCCCCTAACCCTAACCCCCATCCTTAACCCCCTAACCCTCACCCTAACCCCTTAACCCTCACCCTAACCCTAACCCCCTAACCCTCACCCTAACCCTAACCCCCTAACCCTCACCCTAACCCCCTAACCCTCACCCTAACCGTAACCCTGCTCCCAGTGTGGAGCTGATTAAGCTCCTCTTTCCTCTCCCATGGCTGCAATCACAGAAAACACATCCTTGCTCCGCCTCTATTTTGTCTCTCAGTACTCTTCCAGCCCTAGTAACTGCTTCCTATTTTCCCTCCAAATACATGCACCTGGCCCTATTTTCTCATGGTCGTGCAGAAAGTATCCAGAAGGAAATTTGCGGATACTGGAATTTCAAGCGACTGGACTTGGAATTAAGGAGGGGATGCTGAACCGTCTCCGGAATCCCGATGTCTCCTTTGTGTGTCAGATAGTGGTTAGGAGGGCCGTGTGGTCTGGAGCCCTGCACATGGGTGGAGGTGGAGGTTGTTGGCTTGTGGGTTTCCTATGTCTTCCTCCCTCACAGAGAAGGCTCCAGGGAGCCCCCTAGACCCCATGTGGACGTCCTGACTCCTTATGCTCCTGGGCACCCTGCATGGCTTTAGGACATGTTGCTGTCCCTTCAAGTTTGCTGAATCACTCTGAGACAGCCTGAATCTGCTCGTCTATTTATGGGCACTTTCCAATTATATGCATGTTTTTGACTGCATAGCAGTACAGGCATTCTAAAAATAGAAGAAAGAAATATTGGAGATGATTGGTTAGTTCTTACTATAATCAATTTGACAGGAGTAATTATCCTTGTCTGCCTGTTTCACCTTTTTGTTTCTACCTACAAAAACACAGACTCTTCTTGGGTACGAGTCTTGTTTGCAAGATTGTCTTAGAGCTAGAACGTCCTGCCAGAATGGGAAAAGATATTTGTAATAGAGAGTTGGTGGAGCTGATGGCTATATAACTAAAATAGTATTAACTGCACATTAAATTCTTAGATTTAAACATATGTAATTAAGTGTAAGAATTCCCACGATGTGATCAAATACCTGAATCAAATATCCATCCCTAAAAGATGTTTTGGAAATGAGGAATGCTTATAAAATATTTTAGCAAATTATTAAAGCTCAAGACTGTAGAGAGACACTTTCAACTATTTTCAAAAGACTTTTATAATTGCCTCTTGCTCACTAATTGCATTACTTAAGGAAACATTGGTATTTAAATGCTTCAGATCCATAATTAATGTACACATGAGTGGATTAGAAAATGTCAACAGAGAGTAAATATATAGCTTAATAACCACCCTAGATTTTTTAGAAATGGGTAAAAATCGTTTGCTTATTCTTTACTATTTACAAAAGCACACTCTCATGTACCTTCTAACTTCACAGTCCTAGAAATTCTGGTTCTTGGTACATAGCTCCTTTACTGTTCCTCCTAATTGGGAAAATGAGTCTCCAGGTCTTTGGGATTTGCTGACGTTTCACAGGGGAGCGGTGCCGCTGGGACCCACATTCAGGTCTTCTAGTTGTTGATGACCTTACTTTCAGATGTTTTAGTTGATCACGCCTTCCTGAGTGCCCCGTGCATGACTGAGCCTGGTACACACACAAGGCACCGGCAAGGCGGAAGGCCAGGCTGCCCGCAGGCCACGGAATCAATATGATGAGTGATAGTCATTTTAATGAGCAGCTACTATTTTCTAACTCGTAGGATAGACCAAAATGAAAGTTTGGAAGTTTACCTCTATTATGAAACACTACTTTTTGTTACAGATTTGCCTATTTTCTTTCATACCTAATAACATTTTTCAGATATGTAACCATCAAATGGAGCCATAGCCCGTGGCTCTGGGAGAGCAGGGACAATGGATGTCTATTTTCTATCCTTCTCTGCATCTTACCCAGATGTGTGGCCCTTAGTGGGAGAAACTCAGATTGGATCACTGTTATTTACATCGTATCTGTCATACAGAGCTGCCCTGGGCAATGAACAGCAGGAGCTCCGCCTTAGCCAGCATCAGTGCTTATTCTGCTTTCTCCTAGTGATCTTCAGCCACTTCAAAGATCAGGGAAGATTATACTGACAATGGGTTACTCTGTTACCTAAATATTTCAACAAATATTTTTACAGAAAAGGAGTTGGGGGGGAAAAAATTTTTAAGTCCTCTACTGAATTCAGAATCCTTTAAAAAATATGTTGCATTTTTAGAGTTTCACAAGAACGTTCCCAGAACAGTCATTCTTAGGAAGCTGTTTACTACAGGACTAAGAAAATTGGAAAATGGCATGCACTTTCTGCAATGTATTTATTTATATATGTATATTCTTGGTTACTTAAATGGAGGGAAACAAACCCTCTGGCACAATGTGACCAAAAACTCTCCCAACCTGGAGAAAGTTTAAGAACTGTAGTTCAGATGAGCATCTCTGGCTGTCTTGGCAGAGCCTTTTCCTGGCCGATCAGCGACCTTGCATGTGTGACCTGTGAACCGAACGTTTAATTCCATTTTGAGACAGAGACGGCAAACATCACGGTTCCCATTCACAAACAAATGACTGGGGCGTCACACTTACCACTTGCGAAACATTGGTCAGCAGAAATGTAATTATAATTTTATGTAGAAATGAAATATAATATATTCTCCACTGTAGGGCAAATCTGCAGGTGCTGAAGGAGTCAGTTCATGGTCCTGATTCACCATGACCGATGTGTTTGACCTGCAATCTATTGTTAAGCTTGACACACGTTACATCTTTGAATGAGTCTGTTCTCTTCTAAATAAACTGTAGCTCCTTGATAATGTGCATATCTTGTCCCCTAAGAAACACATGTACATGCACATATATACCTGTGTGTATATGTGTGCATGTTTGTGTGTATATGTGTATATATATACATACATATAAATGTATATATATGTATATATTATGTATATATACATATATATGTATATTTATGGCAAATAGAGTTTTCCGGAAGAATGAAAGATCATTTCAGTCTGGAATGATCATAGAAGGCTCTAGAATTTCCCCCCTTGCTGCTAGCTGCCTTTTGCCTCATTTTTCAAGGTTAAGATAAAATGCCCTGATTTAGGCCATATATAGGCTCCTCTTTGGTCCGACGCACAACTGCCTGCTCTTTCTAGATCCTAAACCCTCTTACATGTTGTCTCCACGGCTTTTGTTTTCACCAACAGCATGTGGTGAGATTCTCAGGAGGAGGAATCTCAACTTGGTCACCTTTGCATCACCAATGTA